ATGGCAAAACCCCATCTTGACAAAACAAAACAAACCCCCAAAATTAGCTGGGCATGGTGGCACGTGCCTATAGATAGTCCCAGCTACTGAGGTGGGAGGATAGCTTGAGCCCAGGAGGTCGAGGCTGCACTGAACCATAATTGGACCACTAAACTCCAGCCTGGGCAACACAGTGAGACCCGGTCTCAAAAATAAATAAATGGCTAGCCTGGGGTCTCTCAAAAAAGTTGCTAAGACACCCAGGGTGCCTCTGGCATGGCTTTTCTCTCCCCGTGTTCTGATTTCAAGTGCCTGGCCTGCTCAAAGAGTTAAAATCATGTCTTCACAGCCTCCCAGGAGGCTGGGCACTCACTGGCCTCCCTCTCCCAAAGACAGAACACTCCCCCACCCTCAACCAGAAGCCCAGGCTCTTCCTCCCAGCTCAGCTGGGGCCCCGAAGAAAGAAGTTAAATCTGTACAAAGTAGGAAGCCAGGACAGCTGGTTACCCAGCGCTCCCCTCTCCCAGAGCCTCAGCTTACTTTTTTGTTATATAAAGCCAAGGATCTCAAAGGTTCTTAAACAGATTCTAAAGCTTTTCACATCAAAGCTCCTCCTTGCCACTGCCCCTCAGAGAGGGCAGATCTCTCCTGCCTCCTCCCCTCTCTCTCTGCCACCCCTTAGTATCTAGCTCCTGCCCGCCTACCCCAATGCCAGAGCACCGGAGGAGTGAGTGGGGCCTGGAGGAGGCACGAGGGGTTCGTCTCTGCTCCCCTCTCTGTGCAGGCTACTCAGCAGCCCCTCCCCACTGCGGACTGTGAGGTTTGTGTGAGACTGCAGTCATAAAGTGCAGCTGCCATGAGCTCCATGCCTTACCCTCTGCCTGCTCCAGCAGCTAGGAGCTGGGGCCTCTCCCTGCCATAATCTGCCTGGGAGAACTGGGTGACCTGGGGACCCTCCCACCCCACAGTCATCATCCATCTCAGGCTGGTACACTGTTTGCTCCATCCCAGACACACTGAGATCCCCCAGGAGGTAGGAAGGCGGTGCTGGCATGAGGCGGGGTAGGAGAGGGGATGAGGAGCTCTTTTGGCTCCAGGAAGGAAGCAGCTGGGAGATGATAATTGGAGACCTGTCCCGATGTTGTCCAGAGCCCTAGGAGGGCAGAGGAGGCTGACTGTCTGGCATAAGGTGGGGTCCTTCTGGCTCAGGCAGGACTAGGTCTGAGCTGTGGAGCCGGATTCCAGCAGCAAGGCCATGGCAGGATCCACAAGGCCTGGGCAAAAGGGGGGCTCTTGGCCTCAGAGGGTCCCCTCCTGCTCACTTGTACCCATTGCGCTCTTGCAGACCTCCGGCTGGGGGCGAGGGTGAGTGGAGGTGGCAGAAGGTCAGGGGTTACAGGAGGCAGCCCTCTGACTGTGGTTGAAGCTGTTTCTCCAGCACCCAGGGAACCCCTGCCTCCTTCTGGAGGCATGATTCAGGCCACTCCTCTTCAGCCACACTTCTGGCCACTGTGGGTTGCCACAAGTACCTCAAGGGCAGGGATTGGGCCCTCTGGAAGATGACTCCAGTGTCCCCAGCATCACTCTTTCAGGGCCATTTCACACATTTCCTTCATATCAGGAAACACTTTGTACTATACTGATGCAATATATATTTTTTGTTAGCTTACTTTGAACTTTAAATTTACGTAAAAGAAAACTTTATTTCACTACCATCCACTATATCTATAAAATCACTGGTTTGACCTTCTAGTTGGGGGTTTTTCTAATCCTTATGAAAATGAAGGTATTTAAAAAAAAAAAAAAAAGAGGCTGAGTGTGGTGGCTTACACCTGTAACCTTATCACTTTGGGAGGCCGAGGTGGGTGGATCACCTGAGGTCAGGAGTTCCAGACCAGCCTGACCAACATGACGAAATCCCATTTCTTTAAAAAAATAAAAATAAATAAATAAATTTTAAAAAGTTGGGTGTGGTGGCTCACACTTTTTTTTTTTTTTTTTTGAGAAGGCGTCTCACACTATCGCCCAGGCTGGAGTGGAATGGCATGATTTCAGCTCATTGCAACCTCTGCCTCCTGGGTTCAAGTGATTCTCCTGCCTCAGCCTCCTGAGTAGCCAGGATTACAGGCACCTATCACTACGCTCGGCTAATTTTTTGTATTTTTAGTAGAGATGGGGTTTTACTATGATGGTCAGGCTGATCTTGAACTCCTGGCCTCATGATTTGCCTGCCTTGGCCTCCCAAATTGCTGGGATTACAGGTGTGAGTCACTGTACCTGGCCTGTGGCCCACACTTTTAATCTCAGCACTTTGGGAGGCTGAGGTGGGAGAATCACTTGAGCCCAGGAGTTTGAGACCAGCCTGGGCAACATAGCGAGACCCCATCTCTAAAAAAAGGAAAAAATTCACTGGGCATTGTGGCATGCACCTGTAGTTCCAGCTACTTGGGAGGCTGAAGTGGGAGGATCTCTTTTTTTTTTAAAGACAGGGTTTCACCATGTTGGTCAGTCTGGTCTTGAACTCCCGACCTCAGGTGATCGCCCGCCTTGGCCTCCAAAGTGCTTGGATTACAGGTGAGGTGGGAGGATCTCTTGAGCCCAGGAGCTTGAGGCTACAGTGAGCTATGATCACACCATTGCACTCCAAGCTGAGTGCCAGAGCAAGACCCTGTCCCCGCAAAAAAAGAAAAACAAGGAAGGAAGATAAGAAATAATGTTCTTCCCAAAGTCATCTCTCATGTACTTTGACCTTATTTTGGGGAGCACAACAGAGGATGGTGACCATGGTAAGAGGGACCACCCTAGACCCAGGGTCACGCTGGTGAGACCTGGTCTATGAGGATGTCTACACAGTGCCATGTGGTACTGTCAGTGCTCACTCAAGAAATGGTCATCGCCGAGGGTGTGGTGGTGCAAACTGAGATTAAATCAGGCCTCTACCACTCAGTGTTGCTTTATGCTGGTCACTGGACTTCTCTGAGTCTTGGTAGCGGTTTCTGAAATGGGGACCATGCCAGGCATGGTGGCTCACGCCTATAATCCTAGCACTTTGGGAGGCCGAGGCGGGTGGATCACCTGAGGTCAGGAGTTCAAGACCAGCCTGACCAATATGGTGAAACCCTGTCTCTAGCTGGATGTTGTGGCTCACACCTGTAATCCAAGCACTTTGGAGGACAAGGCAAACAGATCACCTGAGGTCGGGAGTTCAAGACCAGCCTGACCAACATAGTGAAACCTCATCTTAAAAAAAAGAAACAAAGAAAAAGAAACCCTGTCTCTAAAAAAACAAAAACAAACAAAAATGAAATGGGGACCATGATAACACCCACCTGATGAGGTGTAAGGAGGCACGCAGGCCATGAGGCAGGTGGTCAGGCCCTGGTAAGCTGTGGCTCTTGTGCCCATGGGTGTTCTTCTTTCCTTGGTTTGGGTGGGAGGTGCTGGGTCATCTCAGGCTCTGTGCCCGTGATGGACACACCCCAGCCATAGACCAGGGAGGGGTGTGTGCATGTGTGTGTGTGTGTGTGTGTGTGTGTGTGTGTGTGTGTTGGGGGCGATGGCTTTTCTTGAAACCTGGCTGAATTTCCTCTTTCCTCTGTGGCTGGGCAGGGAGTGGCAGGACTGGCATCTGTCCACAGACCTCCTGACAGTGGAGGCTTGGTGGGAGGAGGCTTGTGACGAATCTGGCTGGGTCCCAGTGTTTCCAGCCGGGTCCCCTGTTGCCCTGGGCTGACCTTGGAGGAGCCCTGTGAGTCAGGCCACACCGGGGGCGGGAGTGCATGTGCCTGCTGCAGCACCTGATGCCCCAGTCCTAGGCCACACTTGGGGTGCTGCTTTGGGGCTGGTGGATTGTGGGTGTGCAGGAGAGGCTGTGCTTGTCTCCCTATGGGCTGACTTCTGGGGGGACAAATCTATGCTTTATGCCCAGAAATATGGATGAGGTAGGCCCCCAACAACTCCTCCCACCCCCAGGGTCATGGGTGACCTCTGGAACCCCTGGCCACTGGCCGCTGAGTCTGGAGGGTGCAGGACAGCAGGGCTGGGCCTGGGGAGGACAGGAACTCAGGGATGGTGGGCATCTGGGAAAGGGATTCAGAGTTCCGCGTGGGACCTCAACCCCCGGCCTTCTCTTTCTTTCGCTTCTGTGTTGTCCTTTGTCCCCTGTGCATCTCTTATGGGTCTTGAGCTGTGTGTGTGTTGAGAGGAGAGACTGAAGAAGGGAGGGAGAGGTGGGGGGAGGCCCCGAGGAAGGACTTCAGCTGTTCTGTCTGCTTTCTTTCTCCTTTGAGTTTGTTCCAAATCCATCTCTCACTGTCCTTTCTGTGCCCAGCCTCTCCTGTCTGTCCATGTGTCTGTCTCTGGGGAGGGAAGGGAAAGGGGGTCCCACTGTCCCAGGCCCTGGGCTTCCATCTCCTTGGGAAAACTGAGAACAACGTTTGCCCTCATTCTCCCCCTGTGTCCCTCCCCTGGCACTCTTGCCGGCTGGCCCCCAGCCTTTCGGATAAGTATGTCCTGGACATGCTGGTCTCAGGGAGGAGGAAGAGCTCCCCGCACCCAACCTCAAAGGAAGACTACAAGCTCATTTTCCCATCTTTTTTTAGGGAGCATCTAAAAGGCACTCCCCCCTTTCCTCACCTGCTGGCACCAGCTTTAAGAGGGTGTGTGGCTGGAGAGGGTCTCAGGACACCTTCTACCCCTTTCTTCCAAAACCCTCCCCTTGGCCTCAAAGGGTGGAACTCCCTAACTGTCATTATCACCCCAAACCCACGGAGAAGGAACAGGAAGTATCCAGCCCTTGATCCTCACCCCTCCCTGGAGGCCGTAGGCACACTTTCCACCCATCCACCCTCCTCCCCATTCAGTCCCTAGTAGGGGCTGGGCGGCCCCTGCCTCGCCCCAGGCGCCTCTCCACTCCCCTTAGACCCAGGCCCCGCCCCTCCCCGCAGGGACCCCGGTGGGGGATGGGCAGCCCCCAGGCCCTGCGCGCCGTGACCCCGCCGCGCCCCTCTCACCTCTCACAGATCCGGAGCGGAGCAGCCCCCCCATGCTGTCTGCGGACGATGCCGAGTACCCGCGGGAGTACCGGACCCTGGGGGGCGGGGGCGGCGGGGGTAGCGGGGGCCGGCGCTTCTCCAACGTGGGGCTGGTGCACACGTCCGAGCGGAGGCACACGGTGATCGCGGCCCAGAGTCTGGAGGCGCTCAGCGGGCTCCAGAAGGCGGACGCCGACCGCAAGCGCGATGCCTTCATGGACCATCTGAAGAGCAAGTACCCGCAGCACGCCCTGGCCCTGCGAGGCCAGCAGGACAGGATGCGAGAGCAGGTGAGTGGGCGACCGGCTGCGGCTGCGACTGCGGGCGCGGTCAGGCGGACAGGGGAGGGGGTCTGACCCCGCGTTCCGTGCTCCCAGGCTCATTCCAACTCTGGGAGGCATCTGGGGCAGAGAGGGGAGAAGGGGAAGAGTTGGGAGCTGTCCCTCCAAGGCAGTGGCCCGGGTTGGCCTTTTCTGGAGCCTGGGGAGGAAGGGGTGGGGGCTTGGCCTCCAGACCTCTGCCCGCAGCCCGGAAATTGAGAGCGTGTGTTGAGTTAAAGAGCCCAGCCTCTTTAACTCAGGCTGTTTGGGCAGAACGCTTCTGGGAGGAAGGGAGAGGACAGCCTTGGGGACTGATATTCTGTGCCTGAGTCCATCTGGTGGTGAAATTGAGATGCTGGGGTCCGCACCTCTGTGATATGGTCCCTAAGACAGGGTGGGGCCTTGAGAGCCTCAGTAGGTTGGGTCAGATGTGTTCCCAGTCTCTGCAACCTGCAGGAATGGAGCCCAGAAGTGCAGCCTTTGGCTTCTTTCCTCCCTGTTCCATCCCGTGACTTGCTGGGTGACTTGGAGCTGGAGGCCTCCTCCCTGTTCCTGGGTGTCTCACCTGCCAACAGTAGGGCTTAGAGAGGAGGCACAGGGTCTGTCTCCTTCCATAGCAGGTGGGATACTTTTTTTTTTTTTTTTTTTTTTTGAGGCAGAGTTTCTATCTTGTGGCCCAGACTGGAGGACAATGGTGTGATCTTGGCTCACTGCAACCTCTGCCTCCCTGGTCCAAGCAATTCTCCTGCCTCAGACTCCCGAGTAGCTGGGATTACAGACATGCGCCACCACATCCCGCTGATTTTTGTATTTTCAGTAGAGATGGGTTTCTCCATGTTGATCAGGCTGGACTCAAACTCCCGACCTCAGGTGAACCACCTGCCTTGGCCTCCCAAAGTGCTGGGATTACAAGTGTGAGCCACCATGCCCAGCCCAGGATGCTTCCTTTTTAAACCTCTCTCAGACCCTCCAGGTCCTGAATGCATCTCTCCACCCACGGGTGAACTTCTTGTCTGTAAGAATGTACTTTCTGGGTCTAGCATCCTGTGTACCATTCTGCACTGGTGAGGCACCTGCATGGTTGCTGCATATTGCCTACTGAGACTCAGCCATTGTCCCCTCCGGGTGAAGGGACGGAGGGAAGGCACGCACATCCCATCAGCAGCCTTTCAGTCCAACCTGGGGGTGTGTCAGTCCCTGCTCCCACACCTCTCTTGCACTGTCTCACTCTTCCGGGTTCTACTGGATGTACCTGGGGATGGGAACGAGTGTCCCCACTCCCATCCTTCGGTGCAGGGAACAAGACACATTGACACATTTCTGGCATCTTATCTGCCCCACTAGTGTCACTTCCAGTTCTGTCTGGCTTTTGCCTTTTCCCAGCTCCAAAGTCGTTCTGAGAGCAGGATGCAGATCAGGGTTAGAAAGTGTTGATGAAGCTGTGACCCTCACCCTCAGGGAGCCCCTCTCATTGGGTTCTCCCTGTGTACACTGGCTTGGGGAGAAGGGCAGGGGTATTTGTCATCTAGCTGGGGAGGGGAACAGCCAGTTGGGAGGGGTTTAGAAGACAGAAGATCAGGTAGGCAGTCCTGATCAGGGAAGGCTTCCTGCAGGAGGATGTATCTAAACTGGGCTTAGAAGGATGAAAAGGGTTTGCATAGGGCTAGAGGAAGAGAATGTTGTTTTAGGAGTGGTGGGGGTGTATGGCATGAGCGTAGGCCTGGGTTGGTTTGGGAACTGGCACAGAGGTCCACCTGGCTGGTGGAAAGGCTCAGGTGGGAGGTAGTGGGACATGTGGGGACAGACTGAAAAAGTGGGGCAGATGGTGGTGGCTAGGATGGCTGTGGTTGCTTTGGGATGGGGAATAGGAGGGGAGAAGCGGGGCTGGAGGCAGGGGAAGCAGAAGACAAAGACAGTGTCTCAGGGGCGATGAAGGGGAAAGAAGGACAGTGGGGGTTGGGAGAAGACCAAGCAAGCCCAGGTCTAAGGCTAAGCTGCCTGAGCCTAGAAGGCAATGACAGAAAAAGCTGGGTGACAAGGAGATGTTGGTGCCTTGGAGAGAAACAGGAGGGCTGGAGGGAAATGTCTGGGGGAAGGGGAGAGGAATATGAGGAGATGGGTTTGAGGCATGGGCAGGGCATTCTTGGGGATGCCTTTAAGGTGCCACATGCACCAGTCAGGACTCCAAAGAGGCCGAGGCTTCAGGAGGAGAGTTGAGCACAGTCACGGCAGATAGAAGTGTACCTGGGATTCGGAGTGGTCATCAGGGCGGAATGGGGTCTAAGAAGGGAGAAAGCCATGATATTTGGGGAAAGGGGACCAAGAGTTTTCTGTATCCATGAGGAAGTCCCAGGGGAAAAGGGCCCTGGACAAGGGGCCAGCAGGAGGGTGACCAGCGCTTCAGAAGTCCAAAGGGATGGGGAGAGAGAAACCAACATGGCTACTGGCCATGACCCGTGGGCGCAGAGGGTGCCGAGAGCTTGTGTCTCCCGGTGTGGCGAAGGAATGGGCAGTTTCAGGGGTTGTGGAGATTGGGGTTGGTGGAGGATCAGGAGCCCCAGCCACAGACCTATTTTGGGAGATTTGGCCAGGAAAGGGATGAAAACAGCTGGGTGGAGCTTCCAGGGGCAGCAGGCCTGGGAGGGAAGGTGTATGCATGTTGGAGGGCCTCCTGTGTTCTGGCATGTTCAGCACAGAGTGTGGAACTCAGTGAATACTTAGGAAATGAATCAAAGCCCAGCCACCCACAATTTCATTCCTTTCTTCTTTCATTCATTTGCTTCCCCGCTTAGAGTGTAAGTGGGCAGGATCTATACCCCATTCACTTGCCAGGGAATGCTCGGTGCCTAAGCATGGTGCCAGCTCAGGCAGTGTTTGCGGAATGAATGAGAGATGAGGGAGGAATGAATCTGAGGATGCCAAGGGGAAAGAAGCCTGTAGGAAACAGGTCCTAGAAGAATCTGGAAGGATGGTCTTAGGTGTGGGGTGGCCTTGGGGAAGGAAGGGGGTGGAGTCACTTCCGCTGAGAAACAGGAGAGAAAGATGTGCTGTAGGACTGAGACTACTTGGGGGGAGGCTTCTCCCTGTCCAGAGGTCCCCATTTCTGTAAGGTAGGTAGTGAGGACACCTTCAGTGGGGAGGGATGAAAGCAGGGGAAGGGGAGATGGTAAGGAGCGGCTTCCTTGCCAGTATGCAGAGGGGCAGCCTAGAATTGGACACGAGGCAGGGCATGGTGGCTCACACCTGTAATTCCAGCATTTGGGAGGCTGAGGCAGGCGGAGCGTTGAGCCCAGCCCAGGAGTTTGAGACCAGCCTAGGCAATGCGGCTGTCTCTACAAAAAAATTTGTTTTGATTAGCTGGGCATGGTGGTATGCCCCTGTAGTCCTAGCTACTCAGGAGGCTGAGGTAGGAGGATCACTTGAGCCCAGGAGATTAAGGCTGCAGTGAGCAGTGATCATGCCAATGCACTCCAGCCTTGGTGACAGAGTGAGAACTTGTCTCAAAAAAAAAAATGAGATGGGGATTTTAGGAATGTCTGATAGGGAAGGCCCTGCCCTGGGCTCAGGGAACCCCCAGGTCTAACATGAAAGGCAGCCATCCAGAAACAGCAGGGCTCTAGTTAGAGAGAGACCCAGCCTAAGTAAGGGACTTGCCAGCATCACTAGACCTGTCTGCAGTATGAGCTCTGTGCCAAGGCTTGCCCCAGGAGTGCCCTCCCTCCCAGTCCCAGTCCCCCAGCGGCTTCTGCCCGCTTCCCCTAATGGGGTGTCCCCCGCTTCGCACACACAGGTTGGCGGCTGGACCGTGGACCCCGTGTGCCTCCTCAGCTCCCTCTGCTCCCACCTCCACGGCGACTCCGCCCCCTCCGGGGCTGGCCAGCCGGCCCAGGTGAGTCACCCACCTCCACCCCACTCCCCAAGCCCATGGTGGAGTTTGGCTTTGGGGAGAATTTTTTTTTGGAGGGGGGATGTTCAGGATTTTTATTTTGCAACCTTTTCTCTTTGGTGTAGGAGCCCCTATTTTCAGGAGACTTCTATGCCCCGTACTCACATCTGCCTGATCATCTAATCCCCTGCCACTACCTCCCCACGCCTGGTTGGCTTTGGAGCAGGAGTTTTTGAGGGAAGATACTCAGGATTTTTAAAAAAGTTTTTGTATCCCTTTCTCCTTTAAACAGGAGTCCCATGACCTTGCTCTGTGGGTTTCATGCCCTCCTCCCACTGAGGACCATCTTATTCCGCTCTCCACACCCTCCCCTTCCATTTCTGAGCAGACCCAGCCTTCCCCTGATGTCCCACCATCAGGATGATCTGCATGAAGTCTCTCTCTCTCACCCTTCTTGTTAAGTTCATGGCTTAGTCTCTAGTTTTTAAGAGGACTTGGGCATCAAGCCATCTGTCCTGAACTTGTTCTCCTCTTCCTCATCAAGTTTCAGTGTCCCTTGTGGGAGCATAGATCTTAGCTTAGACAGGGGAACATGTAGGCAGGATACTAGGGGCCTGGGTTCACGGCTAGGCCTGGACATTGCTATGGGAGAAAAATAGGCATCTGAGGCCCCAAATAGGCATCACAGTTGCATTGGGAAGGGGACAGCCCAGGGGAGGTCTTGGCTCGAGGCTGTTCAGCTGTAGGAGGTGCAGGAGGGGTAGTGGCAGGGAATCCAGTGGGAGCAGAGTGCTCAGGTCCTTACATGCCCTGCTTCTCCCAGAGGACAAAAAGGCTTGGCTTTTTCAAACAGAATTAAGAGAAAGAAAATTGTGACCACCTAGGAAGTGACAGGTCTTCAGAGGGAGGACGTTTTAGCCGAGTGTAACTCAAGTCTAGTAACACGCTTGGCATCACTCACAGGGCACTCAGCCCAGTTTCATTCCCAGTTCTCAAGCCCCATCTTGGCTGAACTTTGGGGTCAAGATGGGGCTTGAGGGCAGAACAGGGATGTGTTTGCCCCCAGGGTTGGATGGCAAGTGGGACAGACTTGTCCTGAATGGCTGAGTGCATGGTGGAGGCCAAAGTGGGGCTGGGACAGGGATGGTGATAGGACAGAGGAAGGATATGATACGCATGGGCAGGTTGGGGTGCCTTGGCTGCCCAGAGGTCCTCTCCACATGGAGCGTCTTGGGGCTGTGATAGGGGCTGGGTGATGAACAGGAGTGAGGCTGGACTTGGTGAGCTCAGTTATCCCAGGTCAGGGGGTTGGGGGCTGGGGATTTTGGCCTGTCCACATCTGGGATCTGCTCACATCAGGGAAGGGGGAGTAATTGAGCAGACCTTCCTCCTGGGGCTCTGTAATTAACCAGGAAAGTGTCTGTGCACAGGATCTTGTCATCACTTGATACTTGTCGCACTCCCTGCCTCTAGGGCTGAGTCTGAGGTTTCCTTTTGTCAAGTTCTGGACCAGAGACTTTGGAAAGGCCAGAGCCACACAGCAGGGCAGGATCAGAGGCCATCTAAGAAAGTTAGGCATCCCAGGCCTCCCAGCCTTGGCTAGGGATTAAGCCACGGGAGAGTTAAAAGGACAAAGGTGCGCAGCGAAGACCCGGGTGGGGAGAGCCTGTGGGCTCTAAAGGTGTCAGAGCAGGAGGCAGAACACTGTCCCCTCCCTGACCCTCCACCAGGCGGGACCTTTAGGGATGGAGGCAGTGAAGAGGATCCTCAGAGGGGACCAGAGGTTGGACTCCAAGCCACAGCCCCTCCCCCGGCTTCCACCAGGCTGTCTAACCTCCCTCCCTCCTGCTGCAACCCGAGTCCTGGGCGCTGGGCCGGCATATCGGGTGACCGCGGCGACGCAGCCACCAGCCTCCGCCGCTCCTCGGCGGGGCTGCGCCGGCGGGGCCGCGCCGGGGGAGGGGGCTGCGAGAGGGGATGTGCACGGCGGCGCGCCGCGCCGCGCCAGGTGGAGTCGCGGTTACCGGGGCGACCGGGGCCCGGGCTGGCTCGGCGGCGGCCGCGGCGGCTCTCGCATTGCAGCAAAGGGCACCAGCGGCGGCGGCCGCGGCTGCGGAGGCGGCCGGGGGAGAGAAGAGCCCGGGCAGGTGGGAGTAGGGGCCGCCCCCTCTCCCCCGCCCGACGCGGGACCTGGGGCTGGGGGCCTCGCACGTACACCTGTGGCCGCAGGTAAGGGGGAGCGCCTGTGGGGGCCCGGGATCGCCGCCTTGGGTTGGGCGGGGGGCGGGGACACGGAGATGCGGGCCCGCGGTACCGAGAGCCATTCAGGGGTGGGGGACGCCCAGGCCATTGCGGGTTTCCTATCCCTGAGAAACGCCTCCTCCCCTCCCCCACCGCATTAGGTGCCTTCCGTGTGGGCCGGCCCCCACTCCAAAATCAGGCTGGCGTCCCCTCCCCCAACCTCGAAAAGTCATGACCTTCCCGGGGTGCGCCCTCGCCCCCAGCGCAGCGCAGGTTCCGCAGCACCCCCCACCCACACACACACTCAGCATTGGGAAGGAGATGAGGGAGTCATCCGTGCACCTGGGAGAAAGGGTCGTGCCTGTATGTCGTGGTAGGGGCAGGAGCCTGAGGTGGGGGGCGAGTGGCTTAGCCCCAGCCCGGGGGACGAGTGTTTACGCGGACTCGTGTTCTTGGGAGTTGAGAGGTGGGTGTGTGCACTGGTGCAGCAGAGCCAGGGGATTAAGAAGCCGGTGCGGACCGTGGATTTTCCTCCCTCCTTGAAAGATGCGTGGTCCGGGTTTGAGGTCAAGGAGGGGTCATGCGCTCATTGAACCCGCTGGGGATGCCTGCCCAGGGAGGAAAGAGACCTCAGCTGGCTGGGCCAAGCCTCCCCAGGGGCCCTAGACCCTCCCCTCCCAGGGCGCAAGGGCTGAGGCGGGAAAGACCTGCGGGGTGAAGGGGTGGGGGGGCGGGTGGAGGAACCCTGGCTACCAGTGGCTAGGATGGAGGAGAGAGAAAGGGAGTTAACTCCTTAGCCCCCAGAGGGAAGAAGCTGTGTTTTCTTCTCACCAGGGAGTTTGAGGACTCCCTGGCCTGGCTTCCTTGGGCCTTGAGAGATGCTCCCCTCTGCTGTTTCTCAGAGCCTCATCCCTAGGGTCCTATGCTTCCATCTTACCCTCTAAAGACACCTCTCATTTTGCCCCAGCTCCTTTAAATTCTTCCCTACAAGTGGGCCCCTGGTGGGGTCTCCCCTATTCACCCCTTTCTTTATTTTCCCCTTTCACTGTCTTTTGGGAAGGTGAGGCCCGCCTCCCTGACTATGGGGGTGGGAGACAACTTTGGCACTGGAAGAGTTGGCTTGGGGTGGACAGCCAGACCTTTCCTGGCCCTTCCTGCTCTCTGCCCTCCCATCCTGGGGGTTTCTGGTGCTGGGAAATTCCCAGGGAAAAGGCCCAGCAGGCTGAGCAGTGCTGGGTGCCAGGAGATGGAGGGAGTAGTGCCAGACCAGAGTATTCAGAGATCCCACCCTCCTCCCATGACTTCGTCCTATTTTGTTGACATTCATTCATCATCACATACTTGTTGAGCGCCTGCTATCCACCAGGCACCTTATTGGCACAGCATGAGGAACAGATACCCCAGAATGGGGTGAGGAGGTAAAAGGTACTGGAAGTTGGAAGGGGAGTGACTGGGAATGGCCCACCTTAGAGAACAGGGGAAGAGCCCTTTGCTCTCAGTCACCCTAGTCTGCCTCATGGGTTAAAATCCTGGAAAGGGACAGAGAAGGGGATGGACGATATCCCCAGAGGTTTCCCCTACTACAGTTTCTCTCACCAAAGACACTGAGTTGCCAAGAGACTGTGTCTCATTCCTGGTGGGGCCAACATGAAAGAGAAGCATTCTTCCCGCTCTCTGGAGGGAGGACAGAGAATGGAGGGCAGGATTCATCAGAGCCTAAAGTTCCAGGATTTTGATCTCAACATCACTAGTGCATCCAGGTGACCAGCACAAGCGCAGCTCCTCTAACATCTTTATCCTTTGAGGGGCTTGGCTGGCCTTTCCTATGGCACTGATGCCACCCAGTCCTCTCCCTTGGCTGCCGCTAGTGACCCATCCCTTCTAGGTGACTGCCCCATGGATATGCACAGCCTTGGGACCGTGGGGCAGGCCCATGTGGAGCCCATAGCCAGTGTGGCTGTGGCCAGGCCCTGTCCTTACCTCCCTCCCAGGACCATGAGGGGGGCCCCAGTCATCCGAACAAGGTACCTGAGTCTGTTGACATTGGTGGCAGGGTGGGGGACAGGACATCTTGTATTTCTTTTGCATCAGAGGTTACCTCACTGACTGATAATATCTGGGACATCATAGGCATGGGACAGTGGCACCCCGACCTGGGGCTTTCTCTTTGTACATGGGTGGCTCTGAGGCCGTGTGTGTGTGTGTGTGTGTGTGTGGTGCATGCATTGCTTTGTGTGTGTTTTGATAGCCCGGGTGTGTGTCTCACTGTGAGTGGGCACCCGTGTCTCTATTTCTGTGACTATGGTGTTTTGAGGGTGAGTGTGAATGCCATCAGCACCTCTTGTGCTCTGCGACTAACTGGTGCTTGTGAGAGTATGTGAGCGAGGCAGGAGTCTGGGGGGGAACACATGTGTGTATGAGTGGGGGCGGTCTATGTGTGAATGTCTCTGTCTCTGAGTTTCTGTTTGTTTCCGGGGGCTGTCTGACTGGGGAGCCCCTCCCTCAGTAGGGGTTCGTGTGTGTCGCTCAGAGTGTGTCTGCGGAGATGTCCTTATCGGAGGATGTGTCTGAGAGTCTGTGCTCGGCTGTGCGTGAGCCTGCATGTTGTGGGAGCTGTGGGTGGCCCATGTGTGTGCTGCCCGTGCCCAGTGTCATGGTGGTAGTGGCTTAGGGACTTGAGGCCTGCTCTGCAGAGCCGTCCATCACTGCTAGGTCTGCAGATGTGACTCCTCATAAACCTTCTGGTGCCCTCTGCCTGCCTCCACATGTCCACTCCCTCTGCTATCCCTCCTCTTCCCCAGGCCACCGGCAGCTGCCACTGGAACGTGTTTCTCAGCTCCGGGCCTCCCTATCCTCAGTACCTGTGGGCGTCCCTCACACCACTGGGGGTGACCTCAGTCCATAGATGATTCCAGATATTGGCTGGGACACAGACTTTGCTGTCCCCTTCTCCTGCCTGGCTTGTGACTGGTTTTTGTTTGTTTTCTAGGGCAAATGGAGGGGGAAAGATGGGGATGGTGGCTCAGGAAGGGGTTGTCCTGGCAAATGACCCTCTTGGTCCCAGCCCCAGCCCAGTGTCACCCCCACCACCCCAAAGGTCTGCCTTAGGTAAAGCCTCTAGCCAGAGTACCCCTCTACTCAGCCCCTTCCCACTTCTCCCTGCCAGGAAGGCCTTCAGGTGGCCCGGGACACCCTGGCATAGTGTTCTTCCCCCATGGGCACCCTCGATGTCCCTCTCCTCTGCCAGTGGCTCTGAGGCCTGGGGATCTTGTTTGCTTGTGCCAGGCACCCCAGGGCCAGGCCATCTGCTGCCTCTCTCTCCCTGCTGAGGCTGGCACCGGTCAGCAGGGTGCCTCAGCTTTGCCAAGAACCAACTCGGCCCCAGAGCTGTTCCCTCCTTGTCCTAAGCCATCTGGAAGGGCCTTCTGGTCTCTAGGGAAAGCATGGCGACCCTGGGTTACTGCAAATGAGGGAGACTCTCCAGCTCCCCATTTTAGGGATACTAGGAGGGATGCAAGGAGCCCTCCTCAGTCTGCCAGCCAGCCACAGTCCCCAGTCTCCCCAGCCCCCTTCACTGCCCCCAGCTCCCCAGCCATTGATTGCCCAGTGAGTGAGGTTCCTGGCATCTGGCCCCTCTGCTCTGTAATCTACATCCAGCATGCTGGATAGGCCTCTGTCTCTTGGTCTTGGCCCCCAGCCTCCCTCCTCTGACCCTTGCCCCATCCACCCTGCCCCACCCCATCCACCTCTGCCCCAGAGCCTAGTTCTGATCCCACTCTGCTCCATTCAGACAGTTGTCCAGGCACTTAAGTCTAAATACTTTAAACACTTACGGTCACTCATCATCCAGCCTCAGCATCCCGCTACCCGACCCTTTGCAGCCTAATCTGCTACTTTCCTGGCTGCACCACAGCCAACGTGGACTAGCACCTTTACTCAACCCTCTCTCCACTTGTCTGCCCCTGGGCACTTGCCCATGCCATCCCCGCTGCCCAGCAGGCCTCTCCTCCCAGTCTCCAGCTGCTCGTTTTTCCAGACCTACCTCAAATGCCACCTCTTCCAAGCACTGTTCCCTGGTCTGCCATTTCTCTGGCCCCACAGCTCAGCTTTGTCGCTGCCTCTCTTTTGACTGCCTCATGGGTTGGCTCTATCACTGTCCTCCGTGCCTTTTCCCCGTGGTTACTCTGCAAGGAGTCACTGTAGCACCTGCTCGGGGCTGTCCTGGGCATTCTGGGTCTGAGTAGAGAATGGAAACAGGAGAGAATGGATGTGTCAGGCATGACTTCCTTCCTCCTGGGAGGGTGGAGGGCCCATGACCCAGGGCTGAGTCCCCTCTTTTCCCCGCCTGGTCCTCTCATAACCATCTCTTCTCTTATTTCCATCAGCAGCCAAACTACTGGAGTTTCAAGGTCAGTGTGTGATGCCTCTGCTTCCATGACATCTGCATGTGCTGTCCCTCCCCTCCCCCTGCCCCTCCCTTGCACAGGCTTTGCACCGGGTGCGAGTCTGCACGGGCACCTTCTGGTGTGGGCGGTGGGCCTTGGGGCTGCAGGCTGTGGCTGCTGCTTTGGGAGAGTCGGGTTTGCCCATCAGGGGCTTGTGGATGGAGTGGGAGTTTGGGCCACCCATGCAGGGGATCTGGTCTAGAGGTGCTCAGTTCCTGGGGCATCCCCACACCGTGAGGGGCATTTTGGAATGACATTTCCTCCAGCCTGGAGAGATTGCTGGCTCTGAGTTAGGGACCTAGACCCTTGTTGTGGGCTCAGTTCTTTGAATTCAGATCTGACCTCCCAGGGAGGCCCTGTGACTGTGATGGGCCCCTCTTCCTTTCCTTACTCTCCACCATGGGGGCTGGTCAGTGCTAGGCAGGAAACTCATGGCCCTACACCCTCAAGCCTGCTGTCTAAGCAGAGGGCTAAGCTCAGGGATAGGGGCCTTCCTGCCTCCTCCTGGGCTCTGCCCTTTCCAGAGCTGAGAAAGCTGTCTGCCCCTCCAAGGGTATCCTGTTTACCCCCAGGGGAGCACCCTCAGGCACCTCTTCCATCTTCCTTGGCACCCAGGCCCAGCGCTGAGCAAACCAAGTGAGACTGCTGCTTGCCTCCTGTAGTCTCTGGCCTCCCAAGTCCCAGCATCTTGACAGCGGGTGGGAGGCATCCCTCCCAGACTCCCCAGGTGTCTTATTTGCATGCATTCTTCCTAGCACTGCAAGAAGTCCTTAAATCAGAGTCATGGAGTCAGAGGAGTCCTGGTGTTGAGCATAGCCTCTTTGGAGGTGGCAGTCAAGGGTCATGGTTCAGTGCATGGGCCCAAGAGCCAGGCTGCATTTTGGTGAATTCCATCCAGTCTGCTGCTATCTAGCTTGGTGACCTGGGGCATGTTACATATCCTCTCAGCCTCAGTTTCTCCTCTGTAGAGTGACAATGTCTGCATCATAGAATTGTTGTAAAGATGGGGGAAAAGGCCAGATGTGCTGGCTCCCACCTGTAATCCCAGCACTTTCAGAGGCTGAGGCGCGTGGAACATTTAAGCCCAGGAGGTTGAGACCAGCCTGGGCAACGTAGTCAGCACTTGTGTCTGCAAAAAAACTTTTTAAAAATCAGCCTAATGTGGTGGTGCACACCTGTAGTCCCAGCTACTCTGGAGGCTGAGGTGGGAAGATCACTTGAGTCTGGGAGATTGAGGCTGCAGTGAGCTTTTATCACGACACTGCATTCCAGCCTGGGTGACAAACACACAAACAGAAGGCGGGATGCATGTTCCAGGCTGTGCCTGGCTCCTGGTGGGCCCAGCATGGTAGCTTACCTCATTAGCTACTGAATCATGGACTCTGCCTTGATTCTTAAACCTAGAAATCAGAATCGCCTTAGGAACTTGTTGAAAATCTCAAACCCAAGCTCCAACTCCCAGAGATTCTGGTTCAGTGAATGTGGGGTCGTGGAAAATGTGGTTTTAAAAGCTCCCAAGTGATTCTTCCCTAGTCTGTGTCCAGCCTCTGGAATCCATGAGCTGCTCCCTAGAACATTCTGGTGACAGGCGCTCTCTACCTCCCATGTAGCCCTGTCCTATCTTTGGAGAGCTCTGCTTGAATCACTGTTTTGTTCCTCTGCCATCTTCCTTATGGTGGGGAAGTCCTTCTGGATGTCTCACTTTCCTCTGCCCTGTTTTCTCAGCCCAAGGATGGAGAGAAGCACCAGCAGGTTTTCTCTCTTCTCGAGAGGGTTTTCTGTACAGGCTGTCAGAATGCAAAGGTGCCCATGGGGCTAGGAAGTGATGGAGCAGAGAGCTTGAGCATCTCTTCTCCCAGGGTTTCTGCCTTCTTGGCAGGTAACAACCCCCAGGATCCCTGCCCCGCCTCCCTTCATTCCAACCCCTGTTCCTTCTCCTTGCTAGCACCTCACTGGTGTCCCTCCTGGCACCATGGCCACCCTTTACTCTTCATTACTGCTGGCTGCCTCATGCTGCCTGAATTCTGTAGCCCCTCATCCGCACCAGCCTGGCAACAACTGACCTTTTAGTTGCCAAGCAACCCCATGACCACCAGACCAGACCTGGTTCCCCACACTGCCACAGAGCTCCCAACCTTCAGCTGGGATGTAGGTGAGACAGAGGGGCGAGGGCTGGCACTGGTGATCAGCCTAGAGCTGAGCCATAGCCTCTCCGTCACAAGCACAAGTGGCCCCTCTCCCCACCCCCACCCCAGCCCATTTCTATGCTGCCTTCCTCCTGCCAAGACTCACACTCGCCCAGTGGTCGAGGCTTTGTGCTTGAGAGGGGAAGCTCCCTGATGTCCTCACATCTGATCTATTATGGCCCCCAAACTCTCAAGGCCACGAGGAGGACAGCTGGGCATACTGACCATCAGAAGAAGATGCTCTCCCTTTAAGAGTGCTAATCCAATTGGAACATTAAATAGAGTTAACATGAAGATGGAGATTAATTAGAGGTAAATCAGGAATTGGGGAGAGAGGGAGCTAAAGAAGAGAATAAATGATTCCTTTTAAGAGATACTTTTATTGTTTTTTTTTAAATTATAAAATGAATCTATTCACACAGTTTTGTACAGAAATCTATAAAGTAAAAAAAACTGTCAACCCTGAGATAACCAGGATTAATGGTTTTGAGTGATTTGTTTTTCAAAATAGACAATTTGTTTTACCAAAAAAATACAGTTGGACAACAGGATTATTTCTCGAAGGTATATGTATATGTGACATATATATGTATATAATGCACATAACATGGAATGACATAGATCAGATTCATTATCCCACTCCCTGGAACAGTTTCTATACAGCAACCAGATTTCTTGCCCAGGGCCTAGGACAGAATGGCAGGGGTTGTGGCCTTGAGTGACAGCCCCAGGTTTCAGCCGAAAGTAGGCTCTTAAAGTGCAATTGAAATCACCCTGACTCTCCCTCCCCCACAGAGAGCAATCAGGCTGTCCTGTGACATCCTTCCCTACCCCCAGCCAGAATCAGCCTCAGCTACGGCTTCAGAGAAGTGGCTGTCGTGGCTCAGAGGGTCCTGGGGGAGGCTGGCTGGCTGTGTGGCAGCACGTACCGTGCAGGGAGGGGCTGAGGCCTGACACCTGTGTCGTGTGCCCATGTGTGTCACATCAGACTTAATATGTGCATTGTGGGCACTGGGAAGGTCGTCTGAAATTGGGGTCCAGTTGGCTTCGAGGCGTTTGGGATAGTTTTCCCAGTCACCCTAAATCAAGGAGATTCCCTGTGTCCAGCTGTGTGAGGGTCCACATCCCCCCAAAGCTGGGATCCTGGGGTCCCAGCTCTCTTTGCTTTCTCCCTGGGCCCTGCTTCCTGCCCCCACCCCCACCCTCTGAACTCCATGAAGAATAAATTCACCACTCACAAACCCGACACTTAATTAACGTCTGGAACTAATGCCCCAATTTGCTCAACGATTCTGCTGCTCACCTCAGGTGACAAATTTGTGTTGTTGTTCTTCCGAAGCTTGAAATAGCAGGCGCACCCATAGCCCCCCACTCACATGGCCTCTCGTCTGGCTTCCCAGGGTCCCTGGGTCCTCTGCCCACTCCTTACCTGAGGGGTGTCCCAGGGAGGCCAAGGCCGGGAGAGGCTGGGGAACTCTCTTGTGACCACGCCAGGCGTCTGTAATCTGTGTGGGTGTCGCTGGCTGGCAGGACCTACCCAGGCCTGGACATAGGCAGTGATGAGCAAAGGGGGGTGCTTATCCTTGGTCCCTTCTCACCCTGCCTGGCCCCTGCAGACCCGCAGCTCACGCCACACTCAGGGAGCCCAGCCTGGGCTGGCAGACCAGGCGGCAAAGTTGTCATACGCCTCCGCCGAGTCGCTGGAGACCATGTCGGAGGCCGAGCTGCCCCTGGGCTTCAGCAGGATGAACCGCTTCAGACAGAGCCTGCCTCTCTCCCGCTCAGCTAGCCAGACCAAGCTGCGCTCCCCAGGTACTGCCCGCCCTGTCCACCCTCTCTCCCTGCACAGGCTCCTCCCTCTGCTCATCACTCCCTGGAGCCCCCCCCTCCCCTGCAGCACTCCAGCTCGCCTCAAGCTCTGCTCTTTCCCATAGCCCCTTCTCCCCCAGCAACCCCAGCTCTCTCCATCTCTCTCACCCTCAGCATCCCCAGCCGACCCCTTTCCCTCCAAGCCTCCTCTCTCCCTTTGGCTTCCTCTTTGGTCCCTTTCCTTCATCCCTCCCTTCTCCCCTATCAACCTTCTCTAACTCTCCAACCTCTCTCTCCCTCAGCTCACTTCCTCTCAGTTTTCGCCCCACCTGCTCCTGCTCCCACTTCCATTTCCTTGTCCAAATTCCTCCAACTGCCTGGAGTCCAGTGGGTGCCTTGAGAGGCTGGAGACGGCCTGGTGCCCCGGCCAGCAGCATGAGGGGTGCTTGGGTGCACCTGCACTCAGGGGCGGAGTCTGGCCTCAGACCCTGCCTCTGCGGGGCTGGCGCAGCTCCCGAAAGCTCCCGGCGGCCTCCCGGAGGGCGGAGTGGAGACGGCGGCGGCAGTGACAGCGAGGGTGGCGTCTCCTTCACAGGGGTGCTGTTCCTGCAGTTCGGGGAGGAGACTCGGCGCGTGCACATCACGCACGAGGTCAGCAGCCTGGACACGCTGCACGCACTCATCGCGCACATGTTCCCGCAGAAGCTCACCATGGGCATGCTTAAGTCGCCCAATACTGCCATCCTCATCAAAGACGAAGCTCGCAACGTCTTCTACGAGCTGGAGGACGTCCGGTGGGCTTGGCCCCGGGGGGATGAGGGTGGGCTTCCCCACGCTCCTCCTCTGCAGGGTACTGGACCCTGCTGGCCCTTCCCCAGCCCCTTCCTGATCCGACCTCAGCCTTTCCCCTCCCTTCCTAGAGCCCTACCGCCCCGCCCTCGGCCATCTCAGCCCCACCCCCTCTCTAAATCATCCACTCCCGCCGGTTCCCTTTGCTTTGAGCTAACCTGAAAATGGCGCCTGAGGCCAGGAAGAGGCCAGGGTGGAGGCTGCTGGGCCTGTATGCTGGTGGCTGGCAGCCTGAGTGAAGGATTTAGGAAGGAGCTGGGGCTCCCGGTTCCTCTAGCCACCCCTCTTCTCTCTGCCTGGAGTAGCCGCTCCTCCTCATTGTGCACGGCTGGGGAATGGTTGGTGACCCCTCTGTCCCCCCCCCACCCAGGGACATCCAGGACCGCAGCATTATCAAGATCTACAGGAAGGAGCCCCTCTATGCTGCTTTCCCTGGTTCACACCTCACCAACGGGGACCTCCGGGTATGGCTGGGCATCCCCAAAGCATTGGGGAGGCTGGGCACATGGGGTACAGGGGAGCAGGGTCCGGGCAGTTGTCGGGGGCCAGGGCCAGCTTGGGAGAAGCGAGAATAGGGCTGAGGGATTAGGGAAGAGCCCCTCTCCCACCTGCTACTTCCCTTCTACTCCTGACCTGTCCACTCTGGATTCCACTAACTTGCCCCCAGATAGTCTAAGGCCTCTCAGGAGCCATCCCTTCCCCTTCTACTTCCTACCCCTCACAGTAGCTGAGCTGAGGGTTACCCCGCTGGTGCCTCTCCATCGGCCACCTTTTCCTCCATGCTGGGAACCCTGATGGAAAAGCGGCCCTACTGCAGCAGGATAGAGGGAGGGCAGAGAGGAGAAGGGACTTCCTAAGCGCCAGGGAGGAGATGCTGGCTTCTCAAGCAAGGGGCAGAGGTGTCCTTGGTGACCAGCTGTGGGGGTCCGGGCTGTCTTCTGCGCAGAGAGAGATGGTGTACGCGTCGCGGGAGTCGTCGCCCACGCGGCGCCTCAACAACCTGTCACCAGCGCCGCACCTGGCATCCGGCTCGCCGCCGCCCGGGCTGCCGTCGGGGCTGCCGTCCGGGCTGCAGTCGGGCTCGCCGTCGCGCTCGCGCCTCTCGTACGCCGGGGGGCGCCCGCCCTCATACGCCGGCAGCCCGGTGCACCACGCGGCGGAGCGTCTGGGAGGCGCCCCGGCCGCCCAGGGCGTCAGCCCCAGCCCCAGCGCCATCCTGGAACGGCGCGACGTGAAGCCAGACGAGGACCTGGCGGGCAAGGCGGGCGGCATGGTGCTGGTGAAGGGCGAGGGCCTCTACGCCGACCCCTACGGGCTACTGCACGAGGGCCGTCTGAGCCTGGCGGCCGCCGCTGGCGACCCGTTCGCCTACCCGGGCGCCGGCGGCCTCTACAAGCGCGGCTCGGTGCGCTCGCTCAGCACCTACTCGGCCGCCGCGCTGCAGTCCGACCTGGAGGACTCCTTGTACAAGGCGGCGGGCGGCGGCGGCCCGCTCTACGGCGAAGGCTACGGCTTCCGCCTGCCGCCCTCGTCGCCGCAAAAGCTGACAGACGTGGCGGCGCCCCCCGGAGGCCCCCCGCCACCTCACAGCCCCTACTCGGGGCCGCCCAGTCGCGGCTCGCCGGTGCGCCAGTCCTTCCGCAAAGACTCGGGCTCGTCCGTCTTCGCGGAAAGTCCTGGAGGGAAGACCCGCAGCACCGGGAGCGCCTCGACGGCCGGCGCTCCACCTTCAGAACTCTTCCCTGGGCCCGGGGAGCGCCCGCTGGTTGGGTTTGGGCCGCCAGTGCCAGCTAAGGACACGGAGACCAGGTAAGGGACATTCACCAGGCCTCAGGGATGGGGTGGGGGGCTGGGGGGGGCGCTGCAGAGAGGGGGCACGGCAGAGTCCGTGGCAGGTGTGTAGCCTGGACTGAGATTCCGTAGTCCTTTGGAGACCTTGTGTAGTCTTGAAGGATCGCCAGAGAGCATCTTGGATGTGGCAGGGCAGGCATTGGAGAGACCAGCCTGCCATTTTCCTCCAATCCGCAAGACTTAAGAGGGTGGTTGAGAGGTCCCCAGATGAGGACTCTGGAGACCTAGCTTTGCATCCATTTTCTGAGCCTCGGTTTCCCCAACTGTAAAATTGAGGGGCTGAACCACTTTCAGTGCCTTTCCAGCTTAGAGTTCGCAGCCGTGAGAGCTGTCCAGCACCAGGACAGCTGAAGTCCACTGGGGAGGAGGGTGCTGTTGAGAAATAGTGACGGGAAAGGAGCACATTCGGGTACCTAGCCTCCAGGCTGAGGAGCCCCTGCCCATCACCCAGTCCCTTCCTAAGGGTGCAGGGCTGGAGGAGGTACCCAGGGCAGTAGATAACCTGCGCCTTCATGCAGCACTGCTGAGCCATGAGGAGAAGCCTTGGCCTTCACACAAATACAGTTCCTCTCCTGGTCTAGTGGAGAGACACTCAAAATACTTTCCACTTCCCTTGGGTGGCATGGAAGGAGGAGTTCTTTGGGGCTCCTGGAGTCTGTGTAATGGTTTCGGGAGGCTCCTTTCTGAGCCCCGACAGTTTTCCCCACCCTGCCTGGTAGATGGTCCCACCTGTCAGGAGGAGGTTAGGAGAACAGCAGAGCAGGTAGGGGAAAGCACTGCCAGGCATGGAGAGATCAGCGTGCAGCCTTGAGGGAGGGAGCGAAAGGTGAGGTGGGAGGCTGTGGGCTTGATCCTTAGGCATTGGGGCCCTTTGAGTTGTGTGTGGGGGGGCAGCCAGGGATGGGACAGTGTTTCTTCTGGTCACCAATCTTAGGAATGGGGGGCTGGACAGGAGGGACTCTATGCTAAAGTGAGGTTGCTCAGACCCCCTTCCTCCCCAGGGAGCGCATGGAGGCCATGGAGAAGCAGATTGCCAGCCTCACAGGCCTGGTACAGAGCGCCTTACTCCGAGGCTCGGAGCCTGAGACCCCCAGGTGAGGCCCCTCTCCCAACACCACTGCCAGGGCCTGGGGGTGGAGCAGGAGGAAGGGGAAACCTGGGTCGGCTCTGCCAGTGTCTCACTAGGTGACCCTGGGTGAGTCCCTTCCCTTCTCTGGGACTCCATCTTGAGATCAGAGAGCTGGAGGAGATGACATCTAAGGTCCCACCCAGCTCTGAATGTCTGGGGCTGGCCTGGACCCCCTGATGCCTATCCTTTTTCCCTGTGCCACAGTGAGAAGATTGAAGGCTCCAATGGAGCAGCCACCCCCTCAGCAAGTGAGTGACCCTCCCCCTCCCCCATCCTTGTTCCCTCGGAGTTTGTTTTCTAATCTATAAAGTGGGGATTAACCAATAGCTACATTACTGGGCTTTCAATGAAGGCATGAGTGGTCACCTTAGCCCAAGAGGTCTTTGCCCGGGCACTTTCGTCCCCACCCTTAGGGCCTTGCGCAGGTAGTCAGAACCATGGACTTCTCTGACTATTGTGTGGGGTCGGAGAGTAGGGAGGACCTTGCTCCAGTCCTTCCCAGGCTTACAATTTCTTCATTTTCTCCCATCCTCGTGGTTATTCTCTGCAGCTTGCGGGTCAGGCGGCCGGAGTAGCGGGGCCACCCCGGTGTCCGGCCCGCCCCCACCCTCGGCCGGCAGCACCCCCGCAGGGCAGCCTACCGCCGTTAGCCGGCTGCAGATGCAGCTGCACCTGAGAGGCCTGCAGAACAGCGCCAGTGACCTGCGCGGCCAGCTCCAGCAGTTGCGCAAGCTCCAGGTACCGCCCCGTCCCGGGCCCCGCCCCACCAACGCTCACCTACTGGTCGAAGTTCCTTCCCACAAGTCCCGCCCCATCCCCTACTCCTTTATCCTTTCCCCAGAACTCCCACGCCCGAGTCCTTCGCCGCTCACTGGTCTCTCTCCGAACCCTTTCTCCCCTTCCCCTTTCTTGAGCTTCCGCCCCCTCGCTGAACCTCCGCTCCCCTCACCAAGCCCCTACCCCTCGCCCGTGTCCCCCTCATTGAGCCTTCCTTCCCCTTCCCTGAGTCCCCATAGAACTCCTGGAGCCCCAGTCACCCACTGAGCCCCCTCCCTCGTCAGTATCCCTCGGGGCAATTCCAGTTCCTTCCTGCCCTGCATCCCTTTCATGCAGCGAGAACCCTTCCCCCAAGTCCCCTCAGCTCCTCCCTCCTGATCCCTGACAGCCTCCCCCGCCCTGCCTGGCAGATGGTCCCACCTGTCAGGAGCTTGGCATTGCGGTGTCCGCTCCTCAAGCGGGCCCAGGGCCCGTCAGGTGAGGATAATGAGCAGAGACAGGCTGGGGAGGGGGGCAGAGAATTGCCATCTGGGCAACGGGTAAGATCTCGCCCACCACGCCATTCAGGCTTGTAATTCGGTTGGATCAATCGTTAACTTAGTCTTCCTGTCCCAGCCACGGAAACTCTATCAAACGCCAATGCTTGAGTCCTTCATTCCAGTCCCGTCCCCATTCAGGGATGATGGAAGCCACAGCCATGGGGCCCGCACTGTCGGCAGGGCCCTACGTAGGGCCACACCCTGTCCCGCAAATATCCCCACCCCCTTCTCCTGCCTCATATTCCCCAGAACTTAACCTTGCCCTCCCCCCGCTGTAATACCACCCCCTCACTGCTGCTTGAGGCCACAGCCATGCAGCTGCCCCTTTGCATGGCCCTTTTTTTTGAGACGGAGTTTCGCTCTTGTTACCCAGGCTGGAGTGCAATGGCGGGATCTCGGCTCACCGCAACCTCCGCCTCCTGGGTTCAGGCAATTCTCCTGCCTCAGCCTCCTGAGTAGCTGGGATTACAGGCACGCGCCATCATGCCCAGCTAATTTTTTTTGTATTTTTAGCAGAGACGGGGTTTCACCATGTTGACCAGGATGGTCTCGATCTCTTGACCTCGTGATCCACCCGCCTCGGCCTCCCAAAGTGCTGGGATTACAGGCGTGAGCCACCGCGCCCGGCCTGCATAGCCCATTTTAACGCTCCCCGCTCCACGATCTCCATCCGTTCTCCTCCTGCCTCTGTTCCTCCCCAGAACTTAGCCCTCTGCCCCTGCCCTTCGCCATCCCACCCCTTCGCTGCTGCCCGAGGCGGAGCCAAGCAGCCGCATCTTCTGCAGAGCCCTGCCCTGCAGCATTGGGCAGTCCTCTACCGGCCTTCTCCCGGCCCTTCCCCTGCCGCGCGCCTCCGCTCCCCCCACCCGGGTCCATCCGTCCGTGCGTCCCGCAGCTACAGAACCAGGAGTCGGTGCGCGCGCTGCTGAAGCGCACGGAGACAGAGCTGAGCATGCGCGTGTCGGAGGCTGCGCGGCGGCAGGAGGACCCGCTGCAGCGCCAGCGCACCCTGGTGGAGGAGGAGAGGCTGCGCTATCTCAACGACGAGGAGCTCATTACCCAGCAGCTCAAGTGAGGCTGGGCGGGCGGCGGAGGGAGGGGTGGGGGTGCGGCCGGAGTGACCCGCAACCTGATTTCCCTGGGAGGCGCAGCTCCCTTCCTTTTGAGTCACAGGTGACGTTGGTCTGTTCTGAAGCCTGATTTCATTCTCCTCTGGCCTGATTTATCTGTGACCCACAGACCTTTGACTGGCATTATTCCTGATTCCTTTTTTCTGGCTTGATGCCTGCTTTTGCTGTGGTCTTGCTTCATATTGATCCACACGCAAGCTTCCTGCGGCCTGCAGCTTCCCTGTCATGTGACCAGCTGCCTGATTTTCCTCTGCCCTCTGCCTACTTTCGTTCTGGCCTGTAACCGTGCACAGTGACCCTCGGGTAGTGTGTTCAGGTGGAGCGTTCAGGTTGCGCTGACCAGCCACCATTGGCGACCCGATTCCCTGAACTCGGAGTCCAGATATAGCCAAGGAAAACCCATCTTCCTTCCTAGTGCAGCTGGAACAGGGCTGTAGTGTTTTCAGAAAGAAGGAGGAATTGCGAACACTCCGCCTCCACATGCTTAGACATGGAGGGGTTAACAGAAGACAGTCTTCTGATCCAAATTTAGCAAATGGCTGTCTGGCCAATGATTTCATTGTCTGGCACCTTTGAAGGGAGAGGCTGCCTTTCGGTGTCCATTCAGGGAGTGAGCATTCCCACCCTGCTTTCCCTCACCAGTGATAGGGATCTGAGACCCAGGCCCCCTGCTCCTTCCTGTGGGCCCCCTCTTGGTGACACAGGGCACTAGGGGATCTGGAGTCCAGTGCCAGCACTGAGGGATGGAGTGATCAGGGCAGTTCCTGCCCCTCTCTGTGCCCCAGTGTCCTCATCTGTACCCAGCATTAAGCTTTTTGCCTCTTTTCAACAAGGTGTTGAGTTGTACTGGCCAGCGACTCCAGGAGCCAGGAGAGGCTGCCCTTGGAACCCAGCTTCCTCACCAACTCATAAATCAGCCTCTTACAAGGGGCTCCTTGAGATGGGTCACTGCTCCTCAGGCTGGGGTCCACATAGACTAATGGTACATGTGCATTTCAGCAAGGCCCAGGGCAGTGATTCCTATGATACCATGTGGCTGAAATAGGGTAAGGGGACATAAGCCAAGGGCAGCCACTCCATCATTCTAGGTGTGACAACTTAGTGACTCCAGCCAGATCTCCAAGCAGACTGGCAGGTGCCGTCTCTCCTCATCCAGGGAATTCTATTTCCCCAGATTTTCTATCCGTTCCTTGTCCCTTTTCATTCAGCCCAGAGGAGGGGGGTTGGAATTTTCAAAAGCAACTTCACCAAGACATTAAAGGGAAATTAAAGGAGATCTAAAAGCACATAGGCAGATGTGAAAGGACAGATTTATGCTATTGTCATTATAAGTGTTTGGTCCTTGGCTCCCTGAGGGCCTTGGTTCTCCAGGAACAGACTCTCCACCCTCTGCCCCATCATCAAACCCATTACTCAGACTGTTTACTTGAGAGAGCTTGGGACCTGCAGTACTGTTTCTGGCAAAATTCTCCATCCTCCTGAAAGGGGGCTCCTGCCTCTTCTTGGTTGGGCAGATAGTGGGCTCTAACCTGGCCATGAAGGCCCTCCCTTAGCCTCCCCAGGCTTTAACCCTGCAGCCCCCCTGCCCCACACTCTGGCCATAGCCCCTGTATACTTACTCTTGCTCCAATTTGCTATGCCCCTTCCTCTTTCCTGGCTACTTGCTGGAAGTTAAAACTGGTTCTGTTCATTCCGCTTGGCTCACTCACTTGTCTGTCTAGCCCAGCACTTAAGGTCTGTGTGGACATTGCCTTTAGGGGTAGTCTCTGCTGACTGAAACCTTTTAGGTCCTGGAATGTACCTTTGCCTAACCCAGGGCCAGCTTCATAGGTATGCCACCTGTGCAGTCATGCAGGGTTCTGTGCTCGGAAGGGCCCCACGCTTGGTGTAATGCTCTGCTGTTGCCATCTTGAAATTTTTAATCATTTTTAAACTAGAGGTAACATTTTCATTTTGCATGGGGCCCCATAAATTATTTAGCTGGTTCCATCTTGACTCTCCCCTCTTGACCCCTCCAAGACTAAACCTGGGTTTGGAAAGCCCAGTGGCTTTTTAATCCAGTGTCTAGACTAGCTGGTCTGGAACTCATTTGCAGAGCTTGCCCAGGTCAGAGGCCCCAGAACTTTGGCAGATTGGATGATCAGAAGATCAAGGTGCCGATGGAGCTTAAGAGAAGCCTAGTTCCTCCTGCCTGGGAGTTGCAGTGTTGTCACCTCCTGAAGGCTTATTTGAATCCTTTAATGAAAGTCTCTTTCCCCTGTGAGTGATTTTATAAAACTGGCACAGCCTGGACCAGTCAGATGTCACACATATGAGGAGGGGACTTGTTCTTACTCATTTGGTAGAGTGAGGGCTGAGCTGGACAGCTTTTGGATTGGGAGCAGCGTGGGTGATGTTAATCTAGTGTGGAAATGAGCGCGGCAGAACCGATGGCTGAAGTCAGATGTGAGTAGATCCTGCTTTGCCACAAAATAGCTGTAAGACCTTTGACTAACTAGTGAAAGTCTTTGAATATATTTTTTCCTTTTTTAAAAAATGCCAAAGCTTTAGTTAGGAGAGCTAATTAATTAGGGTACCTTGTTCTAACAAATAAGCTCTCAAATTGTTTAATAATTCAAAAGTAATAAACATATCTTTCTCATGGAACAGTATTGGGTGGGTTCGCAGGGTGGCTCTTCTCCATGCAGTCATTCAGGGACCCAGGCTGATGGAGGTTCTGCCATCTTCAACATGTGTTTTCCAAGATCACCCAGAAAGTTTCCAACCCACAAAAGAGGCGAAAGGAGTGTGGAGGAGCTTACATGGAGGTTTTTGTGGGCCAGGTCTAGAAGCAGCATGTGCCCCTCCCACTCACCTTCCATTGGGTAGACTTTAGTTAAATGGCCACTTATCACCGCCAGGGAGACTGGGATATGTAGTCTAGGATCTGAGCCACTGTATGTCTGTGTGTAAACTGGAGATAGTAACTGTTCCCACCTCCAGGATTAATTAAAGTAATGAAAGCCAAGGTCTGAGTGTGGCACCTGGCATACAGTAAGTGCATAAATACAAGATAGCTCTTTAACCGGTAGTGCTGCTGAGTCACAAGTTTTGCCCTTGACTCCTCCAACCTCGTCTGTCTTTTCACCTGCTAGTTGGATGAAGACGTGTAAGGCATGCTGATAATGCTGATGACACAGAGATTTAAGGGGGAGCAAATCTGTTGGATGGTAGAACTGAAATTCAGAAGTTGTTGGCGCCCAGATTGAGCTGAAATCCAACAGATGGGATTTGACAGAAATGTACATAAAGTCCCAAATGTGGGTCAGGGATGTCAGCGACTCAAGTACCGAACTGAGACGACCTACCTGGGTAGCAGTTCCTTCTCTCCCTTGTTCATTCATTCCACAATTATTTCCCAGACATCTACTCTGCACCAGGTACTATGCCAGGTGCTAGAAATTGGAGCTGTATCTGGAAGACATGGTCCTTGCCAGCCTGGGGTTAGTAGTCCAGAAGGTTGCTCAGCCGAGCCCACAGAAGCTTCAGAGGTTCGGATGGCAGGAAGCAGATCCGACAACCACAAGGGGAGGGCTTGGAGGAGAGCTTCCCATTGAGACCGGAGGACCACCGGGAGTTAGCACATGTGTTTGTGTATGTATGTGTATGGGTGAATGGAATATTCTAGGCAGAGAAAATAAAGAGCCAGAGAGGGCAGCACATGTAGGACCTCAGAGCTCAAAGCAGTTCTTTTTTTTTTGAGATGGAGTTTCACTCTTGTTGCCCAGGCTGGAGTGCAGTGGCCTCAGCCTCCCCAAGTGCTGGGATTACAGGCATGAGCCCCTGTGCCCGGCTGGACCTCAGAGCAGTTCTGACGGGCTCTAAGCAGAAGCCAAATGGGATGGGGGACAGCGGCACAGAAAGCTAGAGCAGCTCCCAGCCACTGAGCCCTTGCCGCCTGCTTTCCCATCTGCATTCGCCCCCGTGAAAGGGAAACTCTTTTTTTTTTTTTTTGAGATGGAGTCTCACTCTGTTGCCTAGGCTGGAGTGCAGTGGCATGATCTCGGTTCACCCCAACTTCTGCCTCCTAGGTCCAAGCGATTCTCCTGCCTTAGCCTCCCAAGTAGCTGGGATTACAGGCGCATGCCACCATGGCCAGCTAATTTTTGCATATTTAGTAGAGATGGGGTTTCACCATGTTGGCCAGGCTGGTCTTGAACGCCTGACCTCAGGTGATCCACCCACCTTGGCCTCCCAAAGTGCTGGGGTTATAAGCATCAGCCACTGCCTGGTGGGGAACTCTTGCCATCCCTATTTTTTGGACAAGGAGGTCGAGGAGGTCCAGAGATATTACTTAACTTGCTGAAGCTCTCTCCTCTGGGAAGGGCAGAGCTAGGATAGGAGCTGGATCATTCTGACTCTAGAGCCAAGTTTTCTTTCTTTTTTTTGAGACGGAGTCTTGCTCTGTCACCCAGGCTGGAGTGCAGTGGCGTGATCTCTACTAACTGCATCCTCCGCCTTCCAGGTTCAAGCAATTCTCTGCCTCAGCCTCCCGAGTAGCTGGGCTTACAGGTGTCTGCCACCATGCTCAGCTAATTTTTGAATTTTTAGTAGAGTTGGGGTTTTACCATCATGGCCAGGCTGGTGTCGAACTCCCAACCTCAGGTGATCCACCCACCTCGGCCTCCCAAAGTGCTGGGATTATAGGCATGAGCCACTGTGCCCAGCCTAGAGCCAAGTTTTCAACTACCACCTTCCTGCTCTTCTTGGTTGCATTGAAAAGTTTGGATGTTACCCTCAGGATGATAGGATTCATTTAGGGTTCAATGGCAGGAGTGATGACCTGGTCTGATTTATATTTTAGAGGAATATAGGGTCTTAAATGAAACAAGTTCAGCACATGCCAGCTGAAAAGCTAAAGCAGCTTTGGCCCTCAGGAAAGAGGCTGTGTGGCTGGATCATTTGGGAGAAGGGCAATGGACATGGCAGTTTCCCCTGAGACAAGAGACCTCCCCAGGGGCATGTGCTGCTTCCTCCAGTTCTCTGAAAAGCAACCAAGTTCTCTCTGCTCCGTTAGCAGAGTAGAATCAGGGAATGCAAGTTACAATGAGAGATACCTGGCAGATATTGCTGAGGATCAAAGCTTCCAAGGGGGGCAGATAGAGCAGGGCACCTCTTAGGGAGCGCTTCTGAAGTCTCCTCATCCCTGAGATTTGGCATTGCAGGTTTTGCTTGAGTATGTGGCCTGCTGGCTGGCTTTTATGTTTGTTTGTTTTTGAGACAAGGTCTCCCTCTGTCACTCAGGCTAGAGTGGAGTGGCACAATCATGGCTCACTGTGGCCTCAACCTCCCGGGCTCAAGCGATCCCCCTGCCTTAGCTTCCCAAGTAGCTGAGACTACAGGCGCCACTACACCCAGCTAATTATTTTAGTTTTTAATAGAGACAAGGTCTCCTTATGTTGCCCAGGCTGGTCTTGAACTCCTGGGCTCAAGTGATCAGCCTGTCTCAGCCTCCCAAAGTGCTGGGATTACAGGCATGACCACCATGCCTGGCCTCCTGCTTTTAATTTTGATCCACTGGTGGCCTGATTTCTTTCCAGCTGCCCAATTTCAGGGGGCTAGGCTGGCATCTCAGACCAAAAGGGCTGAGAGGGTCTCTCTGTGACTGCAGTGACCTGGAGAAATCGGTGGAGAAGATCCAGAGGGACGTGTCCCACAACCACCGGCTGGTGCCTGGCCCTGAGCTGGAGGAGAAGGCGCTGGTGCTGAAGCAGCTCGGGGAGACTCTGACGGAGCTCAAGGGTGGGTCTGGGGCCTGTGAACACTGTGCGAGGTCCAGGGCGGGGGAGTCTGCTGTACTCCCACCACCATCCTCTCCTCCCAGTCGGCAGTACTCCCTCTGGCCCCGGCTTACACCTTCCTGTCTCCCTAGCTCACTTCCCAGGCCTGCAGAGCAAGATGCGGGTGGTGCTGCGCGTGGAGGTGGAGGCGGTGAAGTTCCTGAAGGAGGAGCCTCAGCGCCTGGACGGGCTCCTCAAGCGCTGCCGCGGGGTCACGGACACACTGGCCCAGATCCGAAGGTCATTCTGTCCCTGACCTCTAATTTCCCATGGGATCACACACCCGGCCCAGACCCATAGGTCAGATTGAACCCTTACTTCAACTCTCCCGAAGGTCACTGGCGTGCCAATGGCGTGACCCCTGCTTGCTGTAGACTCAGCTTCCTCTTACTGGGGGGCAGTCACTCCTCCCCAGGCCCTCCACCTCTCCTGCAGCATCCCAGAGACTGCCTCCCACCCCCTGTCCCTGCTGCTGGGCTCCCACCTGCTGGGCTCACAGCTGCTCCCAACTCTCCCAACTTCAGGCAAGTGGATGAGGGTGTGTGGCCACCTCCGAACAACCTCCTGAGTCAGTCCCCCAAGAAGGTGATGGCAGAGACTGACTTCAACAAGAGCATGGACTTCGAAATACCACCTCCCAGCCCCCCGCTGAACCTGCACGAACTGAGTGGGCCAGCTGAAGGAGCCTCTCTTACCCCCAAAGGGGGCAACCCCACCAAAGGCCTGGACACTCCTGGCAAGAGAAGCGTAGACAAGGCTGTGTCTGTTGAGGTGCTGGGGCCAGGGATTGTGGGTGGTGCCCTGAGGCAGGTTCACACATTCTTACCACCATCCTTCCTAGGATGGGGAGTGCCAATCATGTGGGTCTTTTTCCTTGGGGGAGGAGGGCCAGTGCCCTCATGGAAGTCTAAGAAGCATAATGAGGATAACATTAGTCCCGATAGACAGAAAGCATATTACAAAGCTGCAATAATTAAAGCAGTATGATGTTTGCCTAAGAATAAACTTTGTAGTCAAAGAAACAATAGAATGCCCAGTAATAAGTCTAAGTTTATCACAAATGTAGTATATAATGAAGGTTATATACTCAGACTGACGGGGCATTCCTAACCCACGGGGATGGCATGTGATACCCACATGAAGTCGAAGGGTCCTCCTGGAGGTGGGATCAAATAGGACGCTTCCTTTTCTATTCCCTGCCTGTATGACTGTGGGGAGGAGGCTGAGGCTCCAGAGGTCCTGGAGCAGGAGAGCTACCTCAGTCCTGACTCCTGGCCCCCTCTCAAGGCTGCAGAGCGAGACTGGGAGGAGAAGCGGGCAGCCCTGACCCAGTACAGTGCCAAGGACATCAACCGGCTGCTGGAAGAGACACAGGCGGAGCTGCTCAAGGCCATCCCTGACCTGGACTGTGCCAGCAAGGCCCATCCAGGCCCAGCCCCCACTCCAGACCACAAGCCCCCCAAGGCCCCCCATGGCCAGAAGGCAGCCCCCCGAACAGAGCCCAGCGGGAGGAGAGGCTCAGGTATGGGGAGCAGTAGGGATGGATGGTGGGGAGCCCACCGTGGGGGAGTGCCCTCCTTGGGAGCTCAGGCTGACGGGGCAGCACTGGAGCATCAAGATCATTGTGGTTGGGCTGCCAGACAAGGGAGTCCCTGTCTCACCACTAAAGGGAGACCAAGACCGAGAGGGACAGGGCAAGCTGACTTCATCCCAGGCTTTTCCCACTGTCCTGGGAAGGGAGCCACTGAGAGGACCAGGCAGGGAGGATGAGCAAGTCCAGGCAGAGTTATCTGCCTCCACGACTTGGCTGGGTGCATGCCACAAACCAGGCTGTGCTGAGGGCAGGCTCCAGTGCTGATACTGACACGGTTCCATGCTCCACTCCCCAGCTTAAGTCATGGCCGCAGGGGAGGCAGAGATCCAGACCAGAAGTGGCAGTCGTCATTCCTTCATTTTATTAATTCTTTCAGTGCATATTTGTTAAGCACCTACTGTGTGCTGGGTGCTGGAGATATGGAAATAAGACAGGGCTTGCTTTCAAGGAGCTCAAAATTGAGTGAGGGAAATAATACCGCCATTTGTGTTTATCAAGCACTTACTCTGTGGTAAGAACTGTTCCAATGCTTTTAATGTATTCGTCCTTATAATTTTATAACAAGCCCAGGAGGCGGATATAGTAGCTAGTCCCATTTTACAGATGAGGAAACAAGCTCAAAATGATTAAGTAGGCCAGGCACGGTGGCTCACGCCTGTAATCCTAGCACTTTGGGAGGCCGAGGTGGGTGGATCAACTGAGGTCAGGAGTTCAAGACCAGCCTGGCCATCACAGTGAAACCCCATCTGAAAAAGAAAAAAAAAATGATTAAGTAATCTGTGCCGGGCCATGCCTAGTGTATAAACAGAACCAGCATGCAGGTGCTAAATAGAGTAGCAGAGGTGAATGCCGGTGCTGTGCAGTCCTGGCAGAGGCCCTGCGAGGGCAGGAAGCCTTCCCAAAAGAGGTGACTTTCCAACCCCCCACCCCACACCACCCCCACCTTTCCCCCTCTTTAAAAAAAAAAAAAGAGGTGACTTTTCGCTGAAGTCTTGCAAATGAGTGGGGCACTTCCCTAGCCAGTGAGAGAGGGCACTCCAGGGTGAGGGAACAGCATGTGCAAACCCCTGGAGGTGTGTGTGTGGCATGGCCTGAACAGGGTCTAAGCCGGGGTGCAGCAGGCAGAGCTGAGGCTGAAAGCTTGGCAGGTGCAGAGGTGCTGGCCTAAGGAGCTCAGACATGGTTGGGGTGATGGGGAGCCACTGCAGGATCAAAGGCAGGGGAATGGCACGGTGAGAGTGACCTCTCTGCAGGTTACCCTGGGAACAGGGCTGGAGGACAAATTCAGGGAAAGGAGAGCCCAGTGGGAGGGGCCAGGATCCTTGGAGGAGCATGGAGAGCTGAGCAAGGGTGAGGGGCTGGGGGGAGGAGGGGGTTAGAGCAGTGCCTCTCCAGTTTGAATGTGCATCCGTCACCCTGGGATCTGTTCAGCTGGATTCTGGTTTAGCAGCCTGGGAATGGGGCGGGAGCAGCAGTTCTGACAAGCTTCCAGGTGCTGCAGGTGCTGCTGATCCACAGACCACCCTTGGAGTCAGAACAGTGGGTGCTGTCAGGAGAGGGCCAGGGCTAGGGCTGGAGTGCAGGAGGAAGAGGAGGAGGGCCCTGTGTTCTTGCCCCCAGGCCTTCCCCTCACCTCCTCCTGGTCCTCCCTGGAGGAAGAGGCAAGGTTTATCCCCTTTGAGTTAGATGCAGTACAGACTCCAGGATTGCAGGCCCTCTGACCCCCAGCCCCTTGGTGCCCGCAGATGAGTTGACAGTGCCCCGATACCGCACAGAAAAGCCCTCCAAGTCGCCCCCGCCGCCCCCGCCCCGCCGGAGCTTCCCCTCCTCTCACGGCCTGACCACCACACGCACTGGAGAGGTGGTGGTCACCAGCAAGAAGGACTCAGCTTTCATCAAGGTACCACTCCCGCCTGGGACAGAGGGCCCTGGGACTGAGTTAGGATGAAGCCTCAGATGAATTCTGCAGACCCTTTGGGGTGGGAAAGAGACCCCTTTCTCAGAGGACGTGGAAGGAAAGAGAGGGTGGCTGGTGGTAACTTTGTTGTGCTAGTTTGGGACCCTGGGTATGTGTATTTGCCTTAATTTCATGCCAGGCCCCTGCCCGTTCGGGGACACCCTGGCAGGGGACAGCAGAAGTAGCCGACAAGAAGCTGGGGGGATGGGAGACGGGTGAGGTGAGCTGGTGCTGAAGGGAGGCAGAGCCTGGCCCTGACAGGGGTCCCGGGCCTTGCAGAAGGCCGAGTCCGAGGAGCTGGAGGTGCAGAAGCCCCAAGTGAAGCTGCGCCGGGCGGTGTCCGAGGTAGCCCGCCCGGCCTCCACACCACCCATCATGGCCTCGGCCATCAAGGACGAGGACGATGAGGATCGCATCATCGCAGAGCTGGAGGTGGGTCAGGACCTGCCTGGCCACCGAGGCCTCAGCCAGACCCCCTTCCCTGCCAGGCTGCCCCCAGGCCAGGTGACATGAGGCGGAGGAGGGGCTCTGGGGCTCCCTGTGGAGCACTGGCTGTTCAGACCCCAGGCTTCTTGCCTCCATTTCTTCACTGTGAAATGAGAGGTGGGGGTCTAAGGTCTTCTCTCCTTGCAGGTCTGAGTTTTTAAATTGTAGTCCCCGAGTCCCCCAAGTATCTGCAGACCTCGTGCACTCTGAAAGCCCCACACCCAAAGAATCTGAGATCACCGAGTTTGGAGACCCCCAGCCCCGAGTGTTCCAAGATCAGCTCATGCTTGAGGCGCCCCCATGCTTGAGTATTCTGAGGGAAAGCTCTGAGACTCAGCCTCATGCCTCCACTCTCCCCGCGGTGTTGGTCACCGCACTCGAGTGTTCTCAGCCACCCTCAGCCCCAGTGCCAGAGACCTGGACTACCAGGGCCTCTGGAGGAGGTGACCGAATGAGGCCAGAGAGGGATGATGGCCATGGCAAGGGACCAAGGGGTGAGGCTAGGGGCCTGATGCCATCCCAGGCCACCCTCCCCAAGGGTGCCAGGGCCACAAGCCAGCACCCCCATCCTCCCTGGTACCCCCTCCTCCAAACCTGTCCCCACCTTCTGCTCCCCAGGTGTTTGAGAGAAGCTCAGTGTCTTCCCTCCCCCCCACGCCCCGCCGCCAGCTGATCCCCACCTTGCTGTCCCCCCAGGACCTGGGGCCCCCCAGGGGCTCAGCCCTGGGCCCTACACGGAAGGTAACGGGGCTGCCCCCCACTTCTCACAGCTCTCTCTCTGCCTGTGCCTCCACAGCTTCCTCTCACCTCTCACGCTAACCTGCTAAAACGCCAGTCACCGTCCTGAGTCCCGCCACGGCCACAGCCACTGCCACAGCGTCACACGTGGACTCACCCCTCCCCTACTCCAAGGACAGGCGCATAACCCTTCCTCCCTGCTGCCTGCTAGGGGGGATCCCCGAGACTCCAGCAGCCTGGGTGTCTGGTGGCCCCTTGTGTCTGCATTTTCTCATGGGCTTGCTGATGGGGGCCAGAGTATTTTGTTCTGGTTCACAGTCTGAGCTTAGGTCTGGCCTGAAAGCTGACTATGGTCTTGGGCCAAGACTGGAGTTTGGATCTTGCTGACAGGATGACTTTGGGTCCAGCTCAAAATCTGACCTTGTCCTGAGCCCTTGCCTAGACCCCACCTCCATCCCCACTGCTCTGCTGCCTGTGCTGGGAGGGGCTCTGTTTCCCCACTAGAATCTATGCCTTGTGCTGGGGGCCAGGACACCGCAGGGGCAGGCACATCCACAGCCTAACCATCCCCATGGCCCACGTTGCTTTCTTTGACAGAGAGCTTGGAGTGGAAGAAATCCATGCCAGTCCTTGGCTGCCAGTTCTTTCTGCCTTGGGAAGTTCTTCCTTCTCTCTAACCTCAGTTCTTGCTGCTGTCCTGCTGAACTTATTTTCTCTTTATTCCTTCCTGGGAATTTGGGGGTGAACCTGCTGCCAGCACCCCACCCCTGGGGACTGTGCTTGGGGAGGAGGGAAGGGGGAGGATCTGGGAATCCGGCTGAGGCAGGGGGACCTTTGCTCTGGGGAGGGATAGCCTCCCATGTGCACACACTCCCTTTCTGGGTCTCCCCGGCTCACAGTAGACTCTGGGCTGGCAGCCACCTGATTTCTAGCCTGGTTGGAGGCCTGGTGGCATTTTGGTTTCCTGGCGGGGGAGGAACAGAGAGGCATCAGACAGTGGACAGTGCCTCCTGCTGGGCAGGGGATGGGCACAGGGCAGTGCAAGGAACCTCTAGGATGAGCTGTGTGGAAGGGGCGCCTCCTGGGCTGGCTGTGCCCGCAGCACTTTGGCCCCTCCCATCCAAGCCCTGCCCCTTTCCGGCTCTGGAGGCCAATCCTGAGGGGCGCAGTGGACAAGGCCTTTTGCCCCTGGCCAGCCCTCTGCATCCTGCAGCCGCATCGGGCAGTGGAGCTGGGCGAGCTTGAGGTCGCCCTCTCTGCCTTCCCAATCAGCACCCCCAGCTTCCAGGTAAGTAGGTGGTAAGGCTGGGTGGGTTCCTTTGCAGGGGGGTGGTTGGGGGTCCCTGCTACCAGCTCCCATCTTCCCTTTAGTGGAAGGAGCACTGGCCTTGGAGTCAGATTATCTGGGTTCAAATCCAGGCTCTGCCACTAACTAGCTGTGGGTGGGTGACCTTGGGTGAAGCGTGTAACCTCTCCCCCTGGTGAGAGCAGCAGTCACTTCATGGGTTAAGGTAGGCACTGAAGGTGAGGATGGGTGTGGCAGCGCCTGGCACAAGCCTGGTGTTCAGAGTTAGACCAGGATTTCACTGATGTTGGGAAGTGGTACTTGGGGCCTCCCTCTGCATCCTCACTGAGGCCATGGCCAGGGATGCTGGCACTAGAGCAGGTGCCCAAGGAAGCTTTGCCTGAGTGTGTGCAGCAGAGGGTTTGGCAGGAGGCGAGCCCCACCCATTTGGCTGTGAAGCTCTTGGGGAGAGCACACAAAGTTGAGGGGGACCAGAAGTCTCTGATGGGATGTGTCCCCACCCTCCAAGGCCAGAGGCTGACATGTGGTCTCTGTCCACACAGGGCCGAAGGTCTTGGTCATTCCATTCATTTCAACAAATAGTTAATATTTCTGAAGCACTCACAGCAGGCCCGGCGAGCTCACTTAACCCTCCACCAGCCCCATCTTGGTGCTGAGTCACAGATGGGCACACTCCGGGGGTCAACACTGATACCGGCTCCTGGAGCTCACATGGGCGGTGTGAACTAAACGTTGCCTGCCCCTGGGCAAACCAGCACCTTTCCCAGAAAGCAGGGGGCCATGCGGTATGGAGGGAAGAGACCTGAATTCTGGTCCCAATTCTGCCTCCAACTTACTGGGTAGCCTCTGTCAGGACCCTCCCTGCCTCAGTGTCCCCATCTGTGAAAGAAGGGGGCTAGGCTCACCTAACTGTAACCCCCCTTGTAGCCTGGGGTTTGGTTGTAGGAATCACATACTTCCTCATCTTCCTTCTGCCCCCAGGCTGTCCCAGGTCCCAGGGCCTTCTGCATCCCAAGGATCATCTTGACACAGTGTGCCCCCAACCCTCCCTCCATGCCAGAGGCCAGACTTGAGGACCCAGGACCCAGGACAGCTCCTATCCCAAGACCTCGGACGCTGGCTGACAGCAGGAGAGGCTGGAATGGCCCACAGGTCCTGCCAGGGGCAGTCGGGAAGACTCCCAGGCCAAGGAGCAGGTTCATGCCCCAGAGGGAGAGGGCAGTTCTGAAGACACTGGGCAGAGGACGCTGCAGCCCAGAGGATAAAGGAGCCAGGGTCCCCGGGCCTCAGGGACCAGCCCAGGATGGGACTCCGGAGACCTCTACTGCTGACACCTACCCAGAAGAGACCCTCAAGGACTCTGGACATGATGCCCAAACGTGCAGTAGGGAGTGCCAGGGCCAGGTTGCCGCCAGCTCAGGCTGCACTGCATGGGGCGCCACCGCCTGGCGGATGGACAGCCTGGAGGAGACGCTCCGGGAGCTGGAAGCCACCCTGAGCAACATGGGCACAGGCCCTGCTGTGGGGCCCCCTGACAGCCCTCCATCCCTACCCCTTTGCCCCCAGGTGGCTGTCCCCTTTTCATCTTCCCCTGCTGCCTTCCTGCTCCATTTCCAGAGTCGGACGGAGTAGTGGGCGGCAGGAGTGCCAGGCCAGCCCCCTCCTCCCACCAGCCTTCTCTCAGCTCTTACTGCTCTGCTGGAAGCCTGGTGCCAGAGCAGGGTTTGCAGGCAGAGTCCGGGGGAGGCTGGGAAGCCGGTCTACCCAGGGGTCGGCCAGCCCCCAGCTTCGGCAAGAACCAGGGCCGCTCCCCTTCTGCCCTATATCTGTAAACCAGCTAATAAAGTTTTCTCCCCACCTTCCATCCCCATGCTCCCCTCCCCCTCCTGTCTGGCTTTCTGTCTCTGTCATCTCTCTGCTCGCGCCTCTGGATCCCCAGTGTCCCCTGGGCAGGCCTGGTACTTGGGGAGGTTCATGGGGGCCAAGCTTGCCTCCATGGGAAACCTCACCTCAATCCTCCCATTAGGAGGAGGATGTGGCCTGGGGCCACCCGTCTGCTCTGTGTGCCGTTATAGATGGCCCCTCGCTAGCATGTGCACCCAGGTCTAGATGGTGCCCCTTGCCGGGAGCGGGGTCGCTGCTGGGGACCCTCACTTTAGCAGAGGCTCCCCAAGGAGGGTATCAGCTGCCCCTGGGCTACTCAAGGAAGCCACCAAAAAGTCTCCCTCAGGAGCCGCTGGGAAGCTGGCTGAGCAGCACCCCCCACTCTCCTGCAGGGAAGCCGTAAATGGGGGCTCAGAGGGTGGGCCTGGTCCTGGACTGGGATGTAGAGCCAGAGAGGGGTCTCCAGGTCTCAGAGGGCCCTGCTGAGGAGGTCCCAGCCCGTGCTAGGTTCCTGTGTGATTCACCCCATGCGGACCCTGCAACCCTGTTCCTCTTCTTGCAGAGTGGCGGAGGCAGTGTACCACCCATGAAGGTGGTGACTCCGGGGGCCTCTCGGCTGAAGGCAGCCCAGGGCCAGGCGGGCAGCCCCGACAAAAGCAAGCATGGCAAGCAGAGGGCCGAGTACATGCGGATCCAGGCCCAGCAGCAGGTGAGGGCAGGGACTGTGGGGCCACCTGGGCCCGCTCCTCGGCATGCCGGGCCCCAGTGCAGGGCACCTCCTGCCCCTGCTCCCATGACCAGCTTCCCCCATCTCTGCCCAGACACACCCTCCCTGCCGGGACCACCCCACCCACCCTCTGAACCATCTTCTCCCTCCTCCTCCCAATCCCGGAGCTTTGGATCTGGATTAGAACATGAGTTCCCAACCTGGCACCTCCCCTCTCAGGAGTCCCCTCACTCAGAGACAGAAGACTCATCTCCAGCTACCACTGCTGCTCTTGGAGGAGGGGTGAGCTGGTTAGTTTGAGACTCCAGAAGCCCCTTCTCAGGCCCAGCCTACCCTGGGATGCATAAGGGGGATTTGGGGCCCTCTCCTTCCTGCCACTCCAGTTCTCTCTTCTGCTTCCCCTCCCTCTTCCCAGCCTGCTCTTCCAGATCCCACTCTCATCTCAGGCTCCCTCTGAGCTCTTAGGCCACCCCCAGCCGAGGGAGAAGCCAGCTTTGCATCTGCCTTTCAGCCTTGTGTTTGGGTTTCAGTGGGGTCACCTCCCATCTTTGCAAGGTGAGGTGGGGACAAGGGAGAGGCACTTTGGCCCTCAGGAAGGGCAGGGGTGCCAAAGGAATTGCAGGGCTGCTGCAGTCTTTCAGATCCAATGAGCAGGTGCGGGGGCCACGTAGAGAGTGGACAAACCTCACCCGTGGGTGTTTATTGCCCATGGCCTGCCTGTGTGGCCCAGTTAGAGGCTGCAGGGTGGCCCCCAGACTTACTTGTGAGAGACAGTGTGCTCATTTGGGTCAGTGAATATTTCTGAGCAGCTCCTGTATGCCAGGCCCATCCTGGTTGTGAGGGTGGGGGCTGTGTTATGTCCAGATGCTCTCACTTGAAGAAGGTTCTAGATTTAGAGGCAAACGGTTAGAAATGGGTGAGTCCACCTCCTTTTCAGATGAGGGGACAGCTCAGAGAAGGGACGGGCTTCCCAAAGATGCAGAGCAAGGGGGCATCACAGCCAAGATCAGGACCCAGGAACCCTGGAACCTTTCCCTTCACTGGCCCTGGGACAGCCCTGGGCACCCAAGGCCCTGCCTCCGTGCTGGCTCCCGGGAGAACCTCTCAAAGACCAGCCCTCCAGCCCCCTACAGCCTCTCCACAGCTTCCCACCTGCCAACTCATGGTCCCCAGACACCCCTCGAGTCTCACCCGCAACTCTTTTCCTGCCACTGCCATTCCCCCGGTCCTGTCCAGGTGCCCAGCATAGCAGCTGACACTGACAGAGCTTTCGCTGGGGCACCTGTGTTACCTCATCTCACACTCACCACAGGAAGGTCTCTTACCCCCATGTGACCAGTGAGGAAACAGACTTAACCCAAGGCCACACAGCTGGCAAGTGGGGGGCAATACCCCAGTCCAGACTGCCTCCCTCCCCACCACAGAGCTTCATCCTCCCCAGCAGGCCCTTCCCTCAGCTCTAATCATGCTCCCGTTTCCCACCCTAGCCCCTCGATCCCCAGAGCCCAGCTCCTTGGCTGTGGTGTCAGCCTCCACCCTTCCCGGGCTTGCCTGGGTCCCCAGCGGCATCCAGGTGTGCTCTTTCCACCCCCTCCCACACTGCTCTGCAGCATATGGCTGTGTAGACCCCCCCACCTGCATAGGGCTGTGCAGACCCTCTGTTCCTCAGCATCCTCTCTGCAGCCTCCACCCCAGCCTCAGGGCTCCTTTCTGGGTGGGTGACTTTTTTTTTTTTTTTTTTTTTGAGATGGAGTCTCACTCTGTCATGCAGGCTGGAGTGCAGTGGTACAATCTTAGCTTACTGCAGCCTCCACCACCAGGTTCAAGTGATTCTCATGCCTCAGCCTCTTGAGCAGCTAGGACTACAGGCATGTGCCACCAGGCTGGTTAATTTTTGTATTTTTAGTAGAGACGGAGTTTCACCATGTTGGCAGGCGGTTCTCCAACTCCTGAGCTCAGGTGATCCACCTGACTCAGCCTCCCAAAGTGCTGGGATCACAGGTGTGAGACACCACACCCAGCCTGGGCAACTCTCCTCTTCCCGCCTCTTTCCTTCCCTGTTCCCTTCTCCTCAGCCTCTCCTCACACCATTCCTTCCTCTCCTTGGGCACCAGGCACTGCTTAGTCCCTGCCCCCACCCAGGTCTCCACTCCAGTCATCCATACACACCTCCCCAGGCTCCTCGAACAGACACAATGCCCCCCTCCCGCCCCAGCCTATACTAGGCTTACTAGGCTGCCCCAGCTGCTGTCCCGCTCAGGAAGGGTCACCTACCCCAGACTTGCCGAGCCCCTCCCTGCCCCTGTCTCACTTCCAGTGCTTCAGTAGGCTTTCTTACAAACGGCTTTTTTTTTGTTGCCCAGGCTGGAGTGCAATGGTGCCATCTCGGCTCACTGCAACCTCCACCTCCCGGGTTCAAGCGATTCTCCTGCCTCAGCCTCCTGAGTAGCTGGGACTACAGCCGAGCATCACCACACCTGGCCAATTTTTTTTTGTGTGTGTATTTTTAGTAGAGATGGGGTTTCACCATGTTGGTCAGGCTGGTCTCAAATTCCTGACCTCATGATCCGCCCACCTCAGCCTCCCAAAGTGCTGGGATTACAGGTGTGAGCCACTGTGCCCGGCCACTACTTCTTTCTGGTAAAGTAATACATGTTTCCTGTGGAAATTTTAAATAGTAAAGTATAGAGATGCAGGGGGAAAACCATCTATGTCTTACTATCCACATGCATGGGCTTCTAAGAGCTCCCTGTGACTTCTGTCACCTCTAACTGATTTCCCAAGGCCTGCGAGTGGGAAGGGAACTTTGTAAAATGCAGATTTGATTGTCTCTGTGTGTGTCAGACACACACACACACCCCTGCCAGCTTAAAATCCCTGCCCCGATCCCCGGTGGATGATAAGCCCAAATCCTTCCTGTGCGGCCCAGGCCCTTCACAGCAGCCTCAGCTCACCCTGCCCCTCCGCTCCACGCCCTCCGTGTGCTCCAGCCACACCGGCCACTGGTGGGACATGCTCCACGCCAGCTCAGCCTGTGGCCTTGGTCAGAGTCTTCTCTCTTCTCAGGCCTTTCCTCATCTGTACAATGGGGACAGAAGTATCCAGCCGGGTCCTGAGCTCACGTAGTGCCAGGTGCAGGAGAGAGCTGGGAAAACCACAGCGAGCTCTATGGCGGGGGGTCGGCGCCCAAGGCCTCTCCTTCACCCAGTGAGCCTAAGCTGTCAACAATGTTGAGGTGGAGGGGACTAGAAGTGCCGGGATCAGGGACACGGAAATTGGGAGTGAGGAAGTTCTAAGGTGCAGGTGCCTTGCCACAGTGCCTGACCCCACGGGGCAGTCAGAGGAAGAAAAGCCCGTGAATGTTGTGCTTTGAGATGGGGGCCAGGTTCCCAGGCGTGCAAGGATCAAGGGCTTCGTGGCGACCTGAAGCTATGGACACCCCTTCTTCTATTAGGGCTAAGAAATCTGCCGTGACTCAGTGTCCTTGTCTGTAAATGGAGCTAATATTGTGAGCTAGGGCTCATAAGCCTATTACTAAGGATTAAATATGATCTAAGTAAAGAGTGTACCCAGTGCCCGGCGCGTGGAGCTGCTTTCTTCTGCTTACTGCTATTTGTTTTCTTCGAGACTGAGTTTTGCTCTGTCACCCAGGCTGGAGTGCAGTGGCATGATCTCGGCTCATTGCAACCTCCACTTCCCGGGTTCAAGCAATTCTCCTGTCTCAGTCTCCCAAGTAGCTGGGATTACAGGCACGCGCCACCACACCAGGCTAATTTTTGTATTTTTAGTAGAAACAGGGTTTCACCATGTTGGCCAGGCTGGTCTCGAACTCCTGAACTTGTGATCCACCCGCCCTGCCCTCCCAAAGTGCTGGGATTACAGGTGGGAGCCACTGCGCCCAGCCTTTATTTATTTTTGTATTTTTTTAGTAAAGATGGGGTTTCACCATGTTGACCAGACTGGTCTCAAAGGCCTGCCTTGGCCTCCCAAAGTGCTGGGATTCCAGGCGTGAGCCATCACATCCGGCCCCATATGAAGAAACTTTAATCAAAGGACCACACCAGAGGATTAAGGGAGCAAACAAGGGATGTCGAGGCACCCATGGACATCCCAGTGCAGGAGGCTGTGACTCCCTGGGTGAAGAGCAGTGGGGCAGGTGTTTAGTTGAGTCCCAGAGGGCAGGAGCAGCAGAGCTGTGCTGTAGATGGCACAGCTGCAGCCTGTGACACTGTTCCAAGGTGGAGAGAGCAGGGAAGGAACTTCACCCCCTCCCTCTCTCACCCTGCCATAGACCCCATGCCCAAAACCCAACCAGAGGCCAGTCAGCAAAGGAATGACCGGAGTCAGCCTCTCAGGGTACAGAGCAGGGCAGAAATTAGTTCTGGGAGGGCGGGGGCAGTGGCTCAGGCCTGCAATCCCAACACTTTGGGAGGCTAAGACAGGAGAATCACTTGAGGCCAGGAATTCACGACCAGCCTGGGCAACACAGTGAGCCCCCATCTTTAAAATAAAAAATGAAATACAGAAATTGGTTCTCGGGCAAGGAGAGACAAGTGAAAGACATAGCATACCTGTCAGGTACCAAGTGTATATACCTGTTTCTTCCTCATAACAACTGTATACCTTAGAGGAAACCATGTTGTCGCAGCTGCATCCCCAGAACACCTAGAATAGTGCTAGGCATAAGTAGGTACTCAGTAAATAATTGTTGGGTGAATGAGCGAATGAGTTTGCCACTGATTAGGCCCAATCCAGATGGAAACAGACAAAGCGAATCTGACAGGTGAAAATAGCAATCACTATAATGGCTACCATTTGTTGCACGTATCCTGAGGGTGCTGGGCCCCGGGCTTCACGCCTGTTGGCTTCATCACATCCTGTGCATCAGGTGCTGTGGGGCCTGTTATCCTTGTCTGCAGGTGAGACACGAAGGCCCAGAGAGATACACGATTAGGGTCATATGGTTAAAAAGTGACGGAGCGGGGATTTGAACCCGTCTGCCTGCTACAAATTCTGCTGCCTTAGTGCTGGATTCTGTTGGCCTACCAGGGAGCATAACCTCGTGGGTGTGAGCAAGCCTCTTTGAGATCATGAGAATTCTAGAAGGTGGCACCTTAAAAAAAAAAAGACAGTTGACTAGAGCAGTAAAGCAATGCTGGGCCTCACGTGTGTCAGTGAGAATGCTTTCAGCTGCAAGGAACAGGCACTCCGATTCAAAATGGCTCAAACAATAAGGAAAGGTATCCTCTAACCAGGAAGGCTGGAAGCAGGGAGATTCCAGGGTTGGCGCATTCAGCAGCTTGAGGATAGCAGGACTGAAGTTTCTTTGTATTTGGTCCTGTTGTCATTTCTATTATTATTATTTTTTTTTTGAGAAAGGGTCTTACTCTGTCACCCAGGCTGGAGTGCAGCGGTGCGATCACAGCTCACTGCCACTTTCACCTCCTGGGCTCAGGCAGTCCTACCTCAGCCTCCAGAGAAGCTGGAACCACAGGCACACACCATCACACTCAGCTAAAAAAAAGTTTGTTTTTTGTTTTTTTTTTAAGTGGAGACAAGGTCTTGCCATGTTGTCCAGGCTGGTCTTGACTTCCTGGGCTCAAGCAATCCTCCTGCCTCGACCTCCTAAAGTGCAGGGATTACAGGTGTGAGCCATCACACCCGGCCCTTGTTTTGATTTGCATAAAAGGGAAATGTAGACAGCAACCTACGCTGTGGCGAGCAAAACCCAGGTGAATCGCGGAACCAGCCATTCGCGCACCTGTGTTAGAAGAAATGGTGATTGTAGTCAGGGTGGTTCTTCACCATGAGCGTGAGCCGGGCAGGCTGCTGAAGGCAGGGCGTGCCTTAGCTGCTGTCTTCGCTGCTGGAAGGCCTCTGAAAGAACCCCCTGGCAGCAGGGTGACAATACAGAAGTGAACGTCCCTGCCCAGACCTAACCTCAGGGTGGTCTCTGGTGACTCGCCACAGCACCCTGTCTCATCTTTTGGATCTTTTTTTAAATCAGGGTGGTTCAGTTCTCACACTAGTAGCTAAGCAAGGCCAGGAGGGACAGTGAATACAATTCCCGGGAGAGACCAGGTCCATGTAGCCCTAACCCAGTGGATCTCAAAGGTAAGTGTGCAGCAGACTCACGTGGGTGCCTGCTTTGAAAATGCACATTCAGGAGCCCACACAAGAGACAGGGGAGCCCAGGAATATGCATTCACGATGCATGCTACAGGGGGTCTGTCCCCTGGAGGTGATGAGGTGATGCACGATGCACATAGCTCTCAAACCATACTTTGGAGACCAAAGCTCCAGATGCCGAGCCTCTGGGACTGGGGGAGACACGGCCTGATGTAGGGGTCCACCGAAGGTGGGAGGAGGCTGAGGGGCCAGTTCTGACCACCAGAGCTGACCAGTGAGGGCAGGCAAGTCATGAGGGAGTAGCCCCCATGACCAACTGGGGCAACCAGGAGCACTTTCGGTGCTTCCTGTGCTGGGTGGGAGGCTGTGTGGTAGCACCGTCCCAGATTTCCAGGTGGTTTGGGGGGGGTCTTCAACGTGTTTATTCCCGACTCTGTTGCCACCAGGATGAGGTTGGAAGGGGCCTTGGCCATATGGCAGGCCAGTTGGGACTAGGAGCCTTTCCCCACCCTGCCCCCCTCCCCCCAAGGCTGGGTGTCCCTGTGGCAGCTAACGTTTCACTTCTTCTTCCTTCCCTCCTCTGCCCTCCCCCACCGTCTCCCGGCCCGGCCTGGGCGCGGCCTCTCCTGCGCTTCTCTGGTCACTCTGCTTCTCTCTCTGCTCACAGTAACTGTGGACCTGCCCTCCGGCTCTGACTGCCCAGCCCAGGCCCTTTGTCCCATCTCTTGCTCCCTCCCCACACCCCGTTTCTGCCCCTGCCCCTGCCCCTCCCCATTCAGGGGATTCCTCTCTCCAGATGCTCCTCTGGCTTCTTCCTTTTGCAGTTAATTTCCTTGGATTTGTGGAGGTTTTCCACTTTTAAAACTTCAGCTGGGGGCCAGCATGGAGGCGCTCCCTTCCGCTCTCTGACCCCTGACCCCTGTTTTTGTTCCAGGCCACTAAACCATCTAAAGAGATGAGCGGGTCGAATGAGACCTCGAGCCCAGTCTCAGAAAAGCCCTCGGCTTCCAGAACCTCTATTCCCGTATTGACTTCCTTTGGGGCAAGGAATTCTTCCATCTCCTTCTAGAAGCCCCTCACCCACCACCCCGCCTGTCCCCCTCCCTCATTCCTGCCATTTCTCCCCTTTCTTCCCTTCATCTCAGCCCCACCCCACTCTCCAGACCCCCAGGGATGTGCCCTGCAGAGGAGGGGCAGCCCTCCCCAGCTCCCTCTACCATCCTCTGTTGGTGTTTTTGGGTTTTTTTTTTTTAACGGTTCACTTTTAATTATCTTTTTTTAAACAGTCAAACTAAAAACCAAACACACCACCTTCCTTGATGGTTCCCAGCTGGCCTCTCATTGGCTGCACCTGTCACGTCTCTCCCTCTTCTCTTTCACCACTCTCCCCGCTCAGAGTCCATCCTGAAGCTCCTGCACCCCCTTCCTGCCTTCCCCTCACTTCCCAAGAATACTCCAAACAAACTCTGAGCCACGGAGACTGGGAGCAATGGGAGACCCTCTCCCCTTTCTTGGTACCTACCTGGAGGAACTCGGGGACATCGGACCAACCCCTACATCAGGCTGGAGAGCGGGGCGCAGGGAGACTGGCCTTGGAGACGCCCCACTCCCTGTCCCAGCTTGGACAAGACTGTGACCTCTGTGGCTGCTCTGTGCCCTCCTACTCACACCCTGGGGGGGCCTGAAGTCCAGATGGACAGGCTGGAGGAGGGGCTGGGGCTTGAGAGGCCTCAGGGTGGGTGTGAGGTCAGTCATGGAGTCTGTGTCCCTGGGGAGGTGCTGGCCTGCTGGGTCTCACCGTCCTGTGGGGAGTGGAGGACAGAGGCCCTTTGGACCGCTGGATGTGAAGGGTGGGTCATAAGGACAGCTGGACATCGGGGACACTGCCTTGGAAGAGGGTGCCCCGGACAGGTATTTGGTACTTTTAGTTTCCTGATTTAGCACTTTAAATGACATTAACTTATTTAAGGGGGGTGGGGTGGGCAAGAACGAGGGGCCTAGAAAACCAGGTTTTGTGGCCTGCAGGTTGGGGAAGGGTCTGGTTTGGGGAGAATGGGAGAGTCAGAGGGGCTTGACAGGGAGCAGTGAAGACAACTGGGACCCGAAGGTGGGGTGACTTGACCTTCAGGCGTCCTCTTTGTGATATGAGGGTTTTCTGGGAAAGGGTGAGATGTAGTTTTTCAGTGGGGCTCTGGTGACCCTGGTGAGATGTCTGAAGGTCCCTGAGGCCTGACCGTCCAGCCAGCACCCCCAGCCTGTGGATGCCAACCTGCCCTGCGGAGGCGGTTGGCAGTGCCACCTGGCTTTTGGCCGGGTCTTGGGGAGCCAGAGAGAGGCCAATTCTGGTTCTCTCCTGGCCCCCCAGAAGGCACAGTGAGGAGCCAGTAGGGAGATGATGGGAGAGGAGATGGAGGAGCAGCGGGATTCCCACCTGGAGCACAAAGCAAAGCAAGCACAGGGGAGGGACTGGAGTTGGTCCCCCCAGCAAGCACAGAAAGCGGGAGCCAGGGAGGCAGAGCCCCAGCCCTGGGAGCCTGGCTTGGGAAGGTCCGAGCTTGGGGAGCTGGGAGCTGTTGAAGGTCTGTGGGGGAGGGGAAACGGGTTGTGTTTCTTCATTTCTCTTTTTTTCTTGTTTTTGCCTTTGTTGGTTCATCCTTGTTTTCTAGCTTTGGATCATTTTTGTACGAAGGCGAGCAAGCCTTTTTGAAAAATAACAAAAGAGGGAAAAAAAATCCCTCCTGAAAAAAAAAAAAAACCCTCCTGAAAAAAAAACCCTGGAAAATAGGAAAAAAAGGACCTCATAAATGATGCAATTACTTTTAATTGCAGGCAACTCTTTACATTTAAGTGAAGTGTCTTAACATTTTATATTGTTTTAAAAATATATTTACATATTATATATATAATATACGTAATATAAATATATATAAATATTTAAAAAAAAAAAAAAAAAACCACGGCACTCTCTCCCTGGCCGCTGTTTTGGTGGGGGAGGGGGTCTGGGGGGCGGGCATGTCGGCCTGGCTTCTGTGGTCCCGGTGAAACGGTCTGGTTTGATTTGGCTGTACAGAGACCCCCTGGCTTGGGAGGGGAGGGGGGAGTGGTGCCCCCTCCTCCCTCCACTCATTACTCTGCTTGCTACTTCGCTTGCCCGCAGCTCCCACCCTCAGCCCTGTCACTGGAATGTGTGCCCCACCGTCATTGTCCTGAGTTGAATGTCCCTTTGTAGGGGAGGTAGGGGGACACTGTCCATCCATGAAGGGGCAGAAGGAGGGAGCCACGCGCCCCACCCCACCCACTCGGGGGAAGCCCAGTGGGTTTGCATCTTTCTTTCCCTTTGGTTTCGGCACATTTATGGGCTGGGAGGCACCCATGTGGAATCATGTGCAGCCTGCGTGTGTGCAGATGCATGGGGCCTGCATTAGCAGGCGCAGCCGAGCACTCGTGGGGGGGGGGGCGTGTGCACATCTGTGCATGTAACCTGTTCAGGCATTGGCACGTGCCTACCTGCATGTTATCGTGAGAGGAGCTTCATGTGTGAGAACAAGTGTGATGTGTGTGCAGACACACCTAGTGCCGGAGACATGTGCGTGGGCCACAAACATGTAGACAGAGGCTCATACATAGAAGTGCATGTGATCTGTCTGCCAGTGTGTGTGTGCATATATGTGTGCTGGTGCAGACCCAGGCGTGTGGGTGGGCCTCTGTGTGTGTGTTCACATGTGTTCACATGTCTTCCATCATCCCTGCACTGCTGGCTCCAGCTCCCTTCCCGAGCCCCTGTTCCCGCTGGCCCTCTCACAGCCCGCAGCACGTCAGTGCCCCCAGCTGCATGCGCCTCGCTGCTCTGTCCATCAGTGTGTGCTTGACCAAGAGAAAACGAAGATGTCTGGGGGGACCCCTGTACCTGATCCTCTCAGCCCCCGCCCACTGTGCTGTGTTACTCGCATGGGGGATTTCTCTCCTGCCCCTTCCACAATATGCTGTTTCCCCTGGAGCCTCAGGTCTGAGGCTCTGAGTGGGGTCCCCAGGGGGCCCCTGCTGGGGTGAGCCCCGGCTCCACACCCTGCCCCGTCCACCCTGTAGGGCCCGTGTTGGTGTAGCAGTGATGGCTTCTGTGGATATTCTGTGACCTCTGTTGGTGTAACTTGACAATTTCTAAATGGAAAAGGGTTGCTGTGTTTTCTCTGTCTCTCTTTTTTAATGTCCTTTTTTCTTCTCACCTCCCTGCTCTTTCCTTTTCAGTTTTTCTAGCCAAGTGTTTGGGGCTTTAATAAAACTTGTTTCTTTTTCCTCTCCTGGATTTCCTTCCTACAGACTGATGTCTCATTATTTCTCAGCTTCACCCTGGAGGGTCTGGAAGGTGCTAGAATGGGCCGGGTGGCAGTTGGGGAATCCCTGGCAGCCATTGGCCCTGACCCTTCAGCCGGTAGGGCATGAAAGGGAGGACAGAACAGGGCCCCTGGGACTACCCAGGAGTGGTGGCAGGCACCTATAGTCCCAGCTACTCAGGTGTCTGAGGCATGAGAATCTCTTGAACCCAGGAGGTGGAGGTTGCAGTGAGCTGAGATTGTGCCACTGCACTTCAGCCTGGGCAACAGAACGAGACCCTAGCTCCAAAAACAAAAACAAAAAACCAGCTCTCGGCTTGGCACTCAAGGAGATGCCCTGCCTAACCCTCATGACCATTGGTGAGGTAGCTGTGGGCACCACCTACTCGGGCAAATGACAAAGCTCAGTGATCTGCGCATCTGAGCCAGGGTCATACAACTGGTGGCTACAGACAAACCAGTAAATTTGAATCCAGCTCTGCCTGACACCAAAACCAATGGTAACCCCCAAAACCAAGCAGGGCTGATGACCTCCAGCAGTCCCCTGAATTGGGTCTGGCCTCCTGTCCTTTGGGTGGGGTGACCCTTGGTGGGGTCCACCCATCTTTTCTTTTCTGGGGGGGTGGGATCTCACTCTGCCACCCAGGCTGGAGTGTGTGATCACAGTAGTCTCAACTTCTTGGGCTCCAGAAATCCTCCCACCTCAGGCTCCCAAGTAGCTGAGACTACAGGTGCCCGCCACCACACCTGGCTACACTTGTTTGTATTTTTTGTAGAGACGGGGTTTCGCCATGTTGCCCAGGCTGGTCTCGAACTCCTGAGCTCAAGTGATCCACCAGCCTCGGCCTCTCAAAGTGCTGGGATTACAGGTGTGAGCCACCGCACCCACCATGCCCATCTTTTCTAGAGAAGCAGCTTTCGAACCTGTAAAGCGGTAACAATACAAAATGCGTTTGAGACCTCTGTGCGTTAGTATGTACACACAGGTGCGGACAGCCACAGCAGAGCAGCACCTGCGGCACACAAAGCAACATGGAGTGGGTTTTACAGGACTTCCTGGAATTCTGAAGGCTGTGCCACTGTTCCAGCATGTTCTAAGCATCCCCGAGGCTGCCCTTCCAGCTGTCTCTGTGGTTGAGGGCTGCCATGTTACTGAATCTCTTCCCCTCTCAGCATCACTTCACTTCCATCCCTGAAGGTAATATCTGTCTGGAGCCACAATCTTCCAGTCATCGCAGGGGCCCCAGCTGCCCTTTCTTCTCCTAAAGGCCTCTTTGGAGATAGAGGGCAGCAACCTGCCTTCTGTCTGCAGGTACTGCCCCTCCATGAG